TCAAGCTGAGGATGAGTTAAAACGAGATTCTGAAAGGCCGGGAGTTACAAGGAATTATCATTAGTACGAGGAATGTTGGTGGAATATTGACAGCCATATATGATAACAAGATATCCTGATGTGTGCAGGACTGTGCTGTATGTTTTCACTTCTCTCATGGTGTCCTGTAAACTGAAACAGTGTCCCTCATTTGACTGTATAAAAATGCAGAAGGCAAAATAACACCAGCTGTCTAACCGACATGTTTGTCTCAAACACTCCATGTTTCAGGACTAAGACTATATGTTTATTTAAAAGGTCCAGTGTGATCCACTAAAGCAACAAAAGACTAATCATCACTTGTCTGTTTGGAATATATGCATCTAAAAGGCAGCTGCAGTTTTTAACACAGTTATCACATGGTGGTTATGATCTCCATGAGGCATAGATGAAGGCAGAGGAGATAGGGACCTTTTCTGTTAGGGTGAACAAATTTAAAATGACAGAAGGAAAATATGACCAGGATCTGTGGCCTAAGATGAAATACAACCTATTACGCATCATTAAAGTACAGATTTTTATCCATTTGTTTCTCTCTTGCTCTTCTACAGTTATAGTCTGTAACCTCTGTGGTCGTTATTCACAGCAGTAGGTTTGTGATCTCAGCTTCTTCTCTGACCTGAGATGATTTTTCATCTGTGTTGCTTGGTTGCACAGGGCGCCTCTGATCACGTATTTCCACATGCTGCAGGCTGACTATAGATGTTTTTTGTGAGCAGATGCTTTGTTCGGGGTCTGGACGGACACAGAGCTGGGAGATTGGGCGTCAACAAGTCATCTCCATGCCATATATATATTTGCTCTGCCCAGCCACTGAAAAGGTGAGTCCGATCTGCCAATTTAATTCACTCTGCAGATTGAACCTGGTTCACTGACAGGGCAGAATGAATAAATGGCATGGAGATGACTTATTGACTCCACATCTCCCATCTCTGGACAGATGCATATAGACTCCATACTGCTCTGCTTTTAGTGATGGGCTGAAAGGGTCAAGTCTACATAAATAGAGCGTTGATTACACTCTGTTAACCCAGACAGACAAGAAAACCCATTAAAGCTCTGGACTTCACAAAAAAAGTGCAATTTGGGAGTAGATTCTCCAGAACCAGCATGCAGTAAAACCGTTATTGGCCACTCCTCAGGTATTTTTGGAATAAAAATGTATGAATGTAAAGGGGAAAATGCATGACTAGAGACTCTAAAAGGCAATGTTGTTAAAGTAGGAATAAGAGAAAGGGTTTGGCTAAAACCTCAAAATGCTTTTAAAAAAATGAAAATGCTCCTATTTCACCGACTTTGTGGGACAAACATCAGTAAGTGGAGTTAGTCAGGGACGAGGGGAAGCAACAGCCCCATTTACCCCCAACCTCCTCCTCTGATATATTCTACCTTTGGCCACAAAGTAGTACTCTGTGGGCACAAAGTAGTATTTGATGGGAATGAGTTGGTATTTTATGTGCAGGCTGTAAATGTTTTTTTACCCTATAAAGGTTCCCAAGCTCTAAAGATTTATACTCCTAGATTGGTAGAAAGATTTAACTTGGTTAGGATTCCTTTTCCACTGGGTAACTAAAGTCCCGATCACAAATGGATCAGACTGAGGTAGCCCACCAACCCTGACAACACAGTCCAACATGACTGCATAACATATCAGCTGACCTCGTTCTTCTAAAGATTTGAATCTTATACGAGCTCGTTCAGTGCCAAGCAACTTCCTTTACTGGAAATATTTCTCCCATTTTAAAGTAAGACAACTTTGAAGAAATATGTACGTTTTATACCTTTTGACAGCCTTTACCTGCAAATCTATCAAATTGTTGAATTTCACTCAGTTATTGATGATTTTCTCTTATGGGGGGAGGGGATTTCTTTTGCTGCTTTGTTTGTTTTCTGTGGCTGCTCATGTACTTACATTCACATATTGGCTATGGGTTAGGCAAGCTCTGCACTGGTGGCAACCAAAAACCGTATTACACTCTTCAGTAGACCATCCTGGTTCTTACTGGACTCTCCTGGACACCTTGAAGGCTCCTTACAACAGCTGAGCATCCTTCCCTGAAATTGTTACTGATCTGATGCATTGGTTTGAAGCACACAAGGCAAACATTAAAACATTATGATTCTACGCAATTAAGACAGGTTTTTAGCAACCATTCTGCTAATTAAGCTGAATATCAGGTTAATCTATCTTTTTGACGGGTGTCTCAGACAGAAAAATCATTAAAAATTGACTTTTATAAAGACGACTTTTTTTGTAAATAGTACAACCCCTTTACAAATAGTAAATATGCACTTTGCTGTGCTATAATTTAAAGTTCTTAAATTTAAAAGCTGCAAAGTCTGTAAAATACATAATTTGTATGTCTGCCAAAACTGTCAGCTGCGGCGGCACAGGTGCACCATCTAATTACCTCGACTGTTCAATTTAGCTCTTTCTAGAGATAAATGGAATGACAGCTCTTACACCCTAAATAATTAGATTAGGCTTTTTTCATCTGGCAATTTTCTTCTAAATGAAAAAAACATTTTAACTGAATCATTTGGATTGTTGGATCTGTATGTAGAATAATTGATAAGAGGTTTTTGCCAATTTCAAACCTTAAATTGCTGATTCCAGTTTTTAACGATAATAATTGGTCTATAGAACGTGTAATAACAATGAGTATTAGAATGCTTTCTGATTAGGAGGTAGCTTTGAATCAGGACTTTTCTATTAAAACAATGAAACAGATGTTTGTAGAACCATTTTTTTTCTGTGAGCGCAGCTAGCATTGAGCACAGCTAGCATCGCAAAGTAGAAGCCGTGTCGGTGTGCCTAATTTCTAGATGAGGTAGGTTTTTGATATCCCTAAATGTTTAATTCTACATTGTAGTTGAAAGCTTGAGAGGTTTCCATTAAAGAGATCTGTATTATTCCTTTCAACCTTCCTGTTATCTGCTTTGGGTCTGGCTCTCTCTTGCTGTCTTGTAACCTGAGTAAACCACAGACAACTCTATCATATCTAATACTTTTTTCCCCCCATCCCGTTGTTTTATCTGTCATTTTTAAACACATTAGCAATACTGAAAGGAGGTCGTCTTAATGCAGGAGCATTTTCTCAATTATGCTGTTTTCTGTGTATAATGTTAGCGCTTACATCAGAGGTACAGCGAGTAAAATAAGTATTTAACACACCACCCTTTTTTTATTTCAGTAAATATATTTCTAGAGGCGCTATTGACATGACATTTTCACCAGATTTGGTAATGGTCCATGCAATCCACTGTCCACACATACAAAGAAATCAAGCCATAGATGTCCAGAAATTAAGTTGTATGTAAAAGTGTAGAATGGCACAGGGAAAAACTATTGAACACGTGAAGAAACGGAGGTGCAAAGAGGGAAGGAAAGTAGAGACACCAGCAGAAATCTCTCAGTAATTAGAAAGCAATCCTGCTCCTTTTCAGTGCAAATTAATATCAGCTGGTTCAGTCCCAAACGATGGCCTATTAAAAGGTGTCTCTGGTAACAAACAAGAAACACGTCATGATTGGTAAAAGTAAAGAGCTTTCTCAAGACCTTCGCAACCTTATTGTTGCAAATCATAATAATGGCATTGAAGGTTCCAGTAAGCACCGTTGGGGCCATAATCCGGGAGTGGGAAAAAAAACAACATCATTTCACATTAAACCGACCACGACCAGGTACCCCCAGCACGATTTCTGACACAGGAGTGAAAAGAATAACAAGAAGAGTTGTCCAAGAGCCAAAGACCACTTGTGAAGAGCTTCAGAAAGACCTGAAATTAGCAGGTACAATTGTTTCAAATAAAACGATAAGCAATGCACTCAACTCCCATGGCCTGTATGCACACTCACCAAAAAAGACTGCATTGCTGAAGAAATAGCATGTTGAAGCATACTTAAAGTTTGCTGCCCAACATATAGACAAGCCTGTGAAATACTGGGATAATATAGTCTGGTCAGATGAGATCGAAATTGAACTCTTTGATGTCATACTACACATCATATTTGGTGCCTAAGTGGCACTGTACATCACCCCAAAAACATCAAACCAACGGGGAAATTTGGAGGTGGGAACATCATGGTGTGGGATTGTTTTTAAGCATATGGTACTGGCAAACTTCAAATGATTGAAAGAAGAATGAATTGAAAAAATTATGTAGAGACATACTTGATAAAATTCTGCTGACATCTAGCAGGATGATGAAGATGCAATGTGGGTGGACATTTCAGCAAGACAATGAGCCCAAACACACAGCCAAGGAAACTCAGTTGGTTTCAGAGACAGAAAAGCTGTTAGAATGGGCCCAGCCAATCAACTGAATTGAATCCAATAAAAAATATGGAAAGAGCTAAAGAACAGAGTTCCTAAAAGAGGCCCATGAAACCTTCGAGATTTGAGGAGTGTTTGTTTGGAGGAATTGGCCAAAATCACACCTGAGCAGTGCATGCAACTAATTTCTCCATACAGGAGGCATCTTGAAGCTGACATTGCCAATAAAGGCTTTTGTACAAAGTATTACATAAATTTCAGTAAGTATATTCAATATTTTTTCACTATGCAATTCCACATTATCACACATAACTTAAATTCTGGACATCTACATCTATGGTTTTATTTCTTTGTATGTCTGGATTCCATGGATTGTTACCGACGTGGTAAAAATGTCATGTCAATAGCACCTCTAGAAATATATTTACTGAGAAAATTGGTGCCGTTTACAATATTTATTTTAATCTCTGTATGCTCAAAGTAGATGATGTAAAGACGGCAATGTGAAGCCATGCATTATTTCAAGGTACAGTTCACATTCCATCAGTAGGCATAGCTCTGTATCTCTGTAGGCTTCTGATCCCCATTTAGAGCATCAGTAATCTTTCCCTGTTGAACACAGAAAGTACCTGTTGGCAGCAAACAGTTGACAGTAATACCTTATCTGTTTTTTTTCCACCTACAGACCAAAGGAGTACCTGTGTTCCCGTGCATGGACTGCAGCTGTTCATTCAGGAAGCTGGGGAGCCTAAATGCCCACATCAGCAAGATGCACATGTCTGTGATTGAGGTGCCTTCCAGCACTTCGGTAAGCAGTCAAGCATTGCTTTTGAGATAATTCAGATATTCCTGTTCTGCTTACATTCCTGGTTCACAGAAAAGCAGAAAAATGGAACATAACACTATTTTAAGGAAATAAATCTTCATCTGCTATGGCTTCTATAGTAATACTGTTATTTTAAGGAATTTCTTGTCTTTTATGTTTCTTACTTCTCTGTTTGGTTTTTCTATTGTCAACTTGATTAGGAGTCAAGGCGATCAAGGCATTGCTGAAAGCTTAGCATTAGAATCCCGAACTAAATTCAGTCTTGAGTATTGTCTTATTTTGTAGTCAAGTTTACAGACTTATGTTTTATCTGTAATTTATCTGGATGCTGTGCTCTGATGTAATCACAGCAAGCCTTTAGTAATGGAGGGCTGTGCAGATCAGACACTGAAATATTAGGTCATACGAAAACCTTGAATGAAAGACGCTAGCGTTAGACTAGATTACTATTAAAAAACTGCAGTTTATTGGGTCGATATGTGCCATAGCTTTAGAAATAAACACACATTTGTATTATATCTCACTGAGGGGTGCTGGCAAAGATATAGCCTGATGGTGAAGATTTAGCCTGTTAAACCAGATGATTTTAGACCATCAGTCAAAGCACTCAGATCCATTCTTTGCTTATTTGCACTGATTCAACCAAAATTCTTTTTTTTGTTTTAGAAATATACTATAACTGTGTAAATATTTTAAAGACTATTTATTTTTATTCATTTGTTGTGTATTGCACTTTAAACGTCTTTATATGGAGCAAAGTGAAACCACAATCAAATTCCTTGCTATATTTATAAATGTTAAGATTAAATAATTGACTTTACAGCAAAAAAAAAAAAAAAAACTACTCTTAGGGTTACTCTTCAAAGCTGAAAACAAACACTAAGTGATCACAAACAAAGGAGCCCAAGCCTCTCCAGCTTTACCATCTTTGCCTTCCCTACTTTCGCCTTCCGAACTCATTTTAACGTCCTGACATGAACTTTTAGGGTCCTTGATGGTCAAACTTAGTCCTTTGTTATTAAATTGTCCAATAATAATGGATAATAATAATGAGGATGATGATAATAACAGTGATCTTAATAGTAATAATGATCATAATGATAATAATAATTATAGTAATGATAATAACGATAATAATAATAATGATAATAATGATACAAATAATCATAATCTAACAGGAGCACCCAGCTCCTTAAAACAAAACCTTCTTACTGCCACCAGACAGCAGCAGCTCCACTCTATAGTCTTAAGATGTTCCTAAACTAACATACTTTTTCTTGCTTCTTGTTCAGCTTTACTTTTCTTTCATTAATCATTATTATTGTTTTCTTTCTACGTTTATAAAGCGCTGTTTTTTTTCTTACTAATAAAATGTGCCTACTTGCTTTGTTGAATTGTTTCTGTTAACATTCTGTGAGACTAATTTGGCCATAAATTTATTCTTCTTCCAGCTTTTATGCACAGTTTACTGATGTTAGTTTAGCTGCCATAAATTGTGTTTGTTTATTTAGATTAATTACCGTCTGGTGTTTATTTAGTCACCTGTGTCTGCGTGTCAGTGCATCAGACATTGGCATTCTGTTCAGTGATGCCCGATCCTTTGCTCATTTTATGCTCCAGAGACTCTGTAATAAAGCTTAGTCAGCCATCAAATTCTGGCCTCTCCAGATCCTTTCTTCACGCTGCTCGTTTCTTTTTTATTTTTAAACTCTTTTCACTCTTATTCCGTGCTCTTTTTGATTGCAGGAGACCGAGACGACAGGTCAGAGCGCCGGGGGGTCGGAGGGTGCTGAAGGGGTGACGGATGTCATCCAGCAGCTCTTGGAGCTGTCGGAGCAGGTCAGCGGGGAGACGGCTCAACCGCAGCCTCCAGAGCCAGCTATTGCCATGGAAACAGCCATTAACCAGGACATCCTGCAGGTGAGTGGACGACCTTCACTCAGCCAGGATTGTAACCTCTCAGAAATTAAATTCTTATCTTTATAGCTGTATTTGTCACTGGGAGTTCATTCATGCAGTGGAAAAGAGACTCCATGATGAATCTTCATCCACAGCTGTAGAGTTAATAGATGTCATGAATGGGAATTAATTGGATGCAATTATCACAGAGCTATAGATTAGGTTATTTTAAAGTAAATTTTTTGCGTTGTGTGTTGGTTGTGTGTTTGCAGCAAGCTTTGGAGAACAGTGGTCTGAGTGTTGTCCAGCCCAAGACTGAGGCTGCATCCGCAGTGTCTCAGAACCAGAACTCTGAGGTTTCTGCACCAGAGAGCAAAAAAGTGGAGTTTCCAGACAAATCCATAAGGGAGAAGAAGAGGAGCATTTTTAAGAAGCCTATACAAATGCCAGGTAGACTGGGGCAGGGGACATTTATTAGTCGGTGAGCGCTGCTGTCAGAGTTCGTCAAGCCTTTTAGGTTTGAAACGTTTCCAAGAGTTCAGCTCATAAATCAGATGAACCAGCTGGGAACAGTCATACATTCATTGCATGTTTCTGTCTTGTTACACTGCAACCAATTACAGCTGCTTTAGGGCTGTGTCTCCAACATTGCTATTTTTCTTTACTTAATTTGCTGTAGAAAGGTCCAGTCTGAATGTAGAGTATTGTGTGTTTTTTTAAACTGACTGTTAATTTGTTTGGACTTTTACTAGGCCATTTTAACACAGAGGCATGTTTTAATCTAAACATGTAGCGTTTCTTGCAGCCTGTAGAAGTTTGTTCATCCCGTATCTCCCTTTATTTAGCCCCACCCACCTTCCCATCAATTCTGACTATCTCTCCTTTACCTGCTGAAGAGAAAACATCCCCGCATCACACTAAATAATTTTAAAAGGAAAAGTCCGGTTAGCAAGGAATAATCAATGAATCATTATTTATACCTAGAACTAATAGGTTCGCGGTGATTTAATAAATTTAGCGTTAATCAGTAAAAAACAATATTTTTTGTTACGATCACTGAGTCTGGGAGCGGCCATTTTTGCCCAAATATAGTAACACCTCACTCCTGACATCTTCAGGCAGTGACCTCACGGTGTGGTAAGCCGAGGGCCATGTTCCCCGCTTTACAAGGAAAATCCATGGGAGCTACTAGACACATCTGCAATCAACAACAATAATTTAAGATTTCCAGAGGACTTCACTATTGAAATTCCCCAGAGCTATAGTGAAAACTGACAATGGCAACGTGCATGGGAGTTGGATGTTGTAATACATCGGTTAAAAGTGGGAAAAAAAAATGTGTTATTTCACCTTTCCGATTCATGATCCTCCACTGACGAGTTCGTCGTTGAGTTTCCAACTTGAAAAGGGAGGATATGGCATCAAACTTCTGGCCAGAGAAAAAACACGTAATATGTATCCAACATTTCAAAGAAGAATGTTTTCAAGATGACTTGGATAATAACGCGTTGTGACAAACACCAGATACAGGACTTGCTCAACAGCCAATACCGCACCGTGACGTCACAAACCAGTAGGTGGCAGTAGTGTTCTTTGACAACCATGGATGCCTCCAGTAAAGCCCATTCAAACGAAAATTACTTTTAATTAAAGCACTTATCATTTATTGAACAGTATGTAATAATTCTATGTTTAAAGTACTTTCAGAATATTAGTTTGTATTTTGAATGTGACCAGAGTTTAGTTTTGGATTTTTTTCACCAAACTATCAATTAAAACAGTGAAATCAAAGGTTGTAGAATGACACGAATTGTGATTCATGTAGTTTAAATCTTATTGGAGGAGGTGGAGATGTGACTCTGCTGTTTCCTCTGCACAGGCTCGATCAGGGAAGAGGACGGTGTCCGCTGGCATGGCTGCCCTTACTGCTCCAAAGAGTTCAAGAAGCCCAGCGACCTTGTGCGCCACATTCGCATCCACACCCACGAGAAACCCTTCAAGTGCAAACAGTGTTTCCGAGCTTTTGCGGTGAAGAGCACTCTCACTGCGCACATGAAGACGCACACGGGCATCAAGGCCTTTGAGTGTCAGTGCTGCCTGAAACGCTTCTCCACTTCAGGCAGCATGAAGGTCCACATGCGGCTGCACACAGGTGAGAACAGCGGCCTGCCTTTTGTCGCTTAAAGCCAATGCTAAGTTTTTATCTGACTGAATCACTCCGAAAGTCACTCTATAGTAGAAGAACAAGAAGGTACTTCAAGTGTAATTTGTGCTTTTATTGTGATTCTTAATATATTTCTTTCAGTTTTAAGCTTTTTTGTGTGTTTCACAACATTGTTATACCTACAATAATTATAAATTAAAAAGCATAACATCGATAGAATTCAAATTCAATTTCTCTGTTGCTTTAAATGCATTGATGTCTATTAGCAAATAACTATTTTCCTCTCTCTGGGCTCCCAGGTGTGCGCCCTTTCCCCTGCCCTCACTGCGACAAGATCTTCCGCACATCAGGTCACAGGAAAACACACGTAGCGTCACACTTTAAAATCTTGCAGCTGAAGACGAACAGATTCCGACGGAAAACTAACAAAGCCAAAGCCTCCAAGAACATCCTACCTCTGCCTGACATCCCCTTACAGGAACCCATCCTCATCACAGATTACGGTATGATCACTCTGTAATTTTATTGATCATAAAAGGCTTTATCTTTACCTTTACACTTCATTTCCCATTGGAGTCTAAGAGTCTTGTGTTAATTTGTTGAACAGGCCTCGTCCCTTCCCAGAATAGCCGCCTTACTTTTCAGCAGTACTTGGATGTGGGCAATGAACGGCCGTACAAGTGCCAGTACTGCAACAAGGCCTACAAGAAGTCAAGCCACCTAAAGCAACATGTCAGGTAATGTTTACCCTTCTCACTGTGTCAATAGAACAGTAGCAAAAACAAACCTGAAATCATGGCAGAAAGGGCACATATTCACACAGGGTTCCTACTAAGTCTGGAAAGGTTTGGAATTTATTGAGAGTATTTTCCAGGTCTGAATAGTTTTAGAAATAAGTTTGGAAAAGTGGTTGGGCCAATGCAGACCTTATTTTCTGTCCGTTATTACCTCTGTCCCTGTTTTCCTCACTTCTAGTTTGGACAGGTTTTCTAATTTAAGTCTAACCTGCCCTCAAGTCATAGAAAAGTTTTGTATTTGTTTTTTTTTTTTAATGGGCTATAAATGGCATACAACTTTGGTAAAACAAATGTTTCAACAACAGATTGTGACAAATTTACATATAGACAATATTTGAAAAGGTAGAGAGAAAGATCTTTTTCATATAATCACTTCTTACCAATCCTTCTCTTTAGTAGATAAAACAGTTTGTATCAGATCTACAAGGCATTGTGTAAATCTGTTGAACAATCTCTATGAGTGGGAGGACTGTCAGCTCTAATATAGAAATGAAAGCAATTGTTTTAAGCAGAGTTAAGCTTGATGGCTTCTCTTCCCATGGCCTGAATTCCCAAAGTAAAAGAGGGGGAAGCAGTGAGGCAGAGCAGAGTGAAATTGCATGGTGTTATAGGTAACAAATCTGGGCTATATTATGGAAGTACCATGGGAGGTGAGGATAAGGTGTCGTGAAAGGTGAAAACTAAAGAATCTGCAGGTAGATGGAGAAGTGAATAGGACTTTTTTAAAGGTGATAGCCTGAACATTTTCATTAAAACCAGAGCAGGACCAAGGCATAAGGGAGATGAGCAACTGCTTTACTGCTTATGTGTACAAGCTGCAGAAATTTAACTGAAGTCAGGGCCTAAATAACGTATAGTGCAAAATGATGACTACCCTGTTTCATTTTCTCACAATACAACTGCAACCTTTATGTATTTATTGGATTATTTTTTGCGATGGACCAATAAATTGGTGCTTGACTGTGGAAGGGGAAATATGCGTTGCCTTGGAACTTTTCTTTTTAAACACAGACCTGATCAGCCCTGAAATAGAACCTGTCCGACAACAAGTCATCTAAAAGAGCAGCACAGCTTCTCCAGTCCACATAAATTCTATCCAACATAAGAAGCGAGGGTGGAAAGTCATGTAAATTTCCACCATGAACTATGAAGGACTGTTAGTGTCCGTGATTTTAGGTTTACTGAACCTAAACCTGAAATCAGGGAAACTGAGTTTTCTGTTTCACAAAGAGAGTTCCCTCTACCTCTGTTTGTGTTGCTGTAGTAACATTCTCCCCAATAATTTTGCTTATCAAACTTAGATCTGTCTCCACTCTCCCCTAAGAGCCAATTATTTCCTGATTTAATCAGCAGAGTTCTGTCATAGTTTTATAAATAAAAAGTAAATCATTCACTAGGTCTGTTAGACACAAATATATATATATAAAAAAAACATTGCATGTCCGTTTGATGAGGATCTTATTTAAAAAATTATCAGCACTTTTTCACAGAGAATAAAATTTTTATAGTGAGAGGATTCTACAACTCAGTTGACAGGGCATGAGATGACTTGTTTTTGGTTTGTTTAATATGAGCCACATGCGGATTATGTTATTTATTTATTTATTTTTACAGTAGCTATATGAAGAACTACTGAAATTTCCCGATAACACATAACTAGATTAATTAATTCCGCGGGGGAAAAAGGAATAACCTTAGGTTTAGAATTAGGATTAATTCAGTTATAACACCCTACTGAGCCTACTGGCACAATCTGAAGCCGTTCGATGGGACTGATAGCCACTAATAACGAACATTTATTGGGATGATAACATCTGAAGTGCATTTTGTATTTACTGTGTAAAAGAAACACAGAATCAAACTGGGGAGGAACTCCATGAGACTATGAGCAGGTCCTATCTATTAGAACAACATTTTTAGACTTCACCTGTTGTCAGATGATTTCATCTAAATAGATACACTGATCCACTACCATTTAAGAAATAAACCCTGAATGTTATTGTGGTCAAAACAGGCTTTAACAAGCCATTTTGGTATTTATTAGTTTTACTGATAACATTTTTCTGATATCTGAAAAAGCATTTTTTTCCTTGTCAAAATGACAATTTCAAACAAAATGACATTCGCCTCATCTAGAATAAACATTCTGGGTGTCTATAAATTAATATTCCTATAGTTCCTATAGTTACTGATCAGCATTTGTATTATTTTGACTATGAAGAAACATATTTCAGATATTATAAATACATATTCAGTCAAACTGATAACAGTCAAAACAGCCGCTTGAAATGTTTAACATTTCTAGATATATAAAACATAATTCTTACTTACATAATTGTGTGGGGTTTTTTTTACTTTCTGAAATTCAGTTTCTGCTGCAAAAATGTTATTCATAAAATATGTTATTACAGTTCAGTCTAGGGGTGTGATTTTTATCAGGAAGAAACTTATTTTAGTGATCTAGAAAAGGAACAACAGAGAGGAGAGTGCTTTAATAAATGTTAAAACAGCCTGCCATAGGGACTTCATATAAACCTATGAATTAACTTTAGCAACAATCTCCTCTTTCACTGTCTTCCTCTCCTTTGCAGCTGTAGAACTGGTTCTTAGTCTTTTAAAGACATTATCCATTTTTATTTAATTTCTTCATTATAATTTCCTCTTCCAGTGGTGTGAAATATGTTTTCAACTCTGTATGTAAATCCCTTTATTGTTCCCCAATGGGGAAATTCACTCTCTGCATTTGACCCATTACCTTGGGGAGAGGTGGGCTGCCATTGTGTGGTGCTCGGGAAGCAGTGTGGGGTTAAGAGTCTTGCTCAGGAACCCAGAGTGCAGGCTGTGGGGATTGAAATGCGTACTTGCAACCTTCTCTGAGCACAAGCGCACTGCTCTAACCACTTGGCCACCACTACCTTACTCTGAGTGGACCTACTTAGAGTTGAATGAACTAATTCATAGCAGCTGTTGTGAAAACCGAAAACTCTGAGTTCCCAACTTTAGGCTAGATCAATGTAGAGTTGTGGATTTGAGCCTGAGTTTCTTAAACCTGCTTCTTAAAACGGACCCCCGTCTACCAACTTTAACTCCGAGAGCACATCCAAGGGCATATGCGTTTTTTTTAACCATTTTTTTGTCTCCCACACTGTTTACATTTGATCACTGCTGCACATTAAGTAATAGAAATATCCTGAAAGCTGTACAAAACAAAATTTCCTTTTGTATTCACTCTGTGTATACAAAACGACAATAGAAGTTGTCTAAGTCTCTAAGTCTATATCCACAACTCCTCCAGGAGGTTGCAGAAAAACCCAGGACAATAACCAAGGCTCTGCAGACCGAAGTTTAGTTAATTCAGGTCAAAGTTCATGGTTCAACAGCAGAGCAGAGGCAATGAGGCATCTGAGGTCAGAACGACTGCTGTCTTAAAAGAACAGGGCACTTCTCTGCTGAAATACATGCTAAAATTTCTGGGAAACATTCTATGGACTGACTTAACAAAAGAGAAATAATTGAAGGCTGTTGGTGCTGTTAGATGTGGTGCTTGATTGATGTGACGCCAACTACCAGGAAATGAAAGCCAGTGAAACGAAGACTGACGGCTACACAGTGAAGCACATTGTTACCTATGGCATTTAATGAGGCATTTAATGAGGCATTTAGCCTAATCAGCTAATATTATGACACAGACAATAGGCATTTTTATCCACATTATGTCAGTAAAGCAACAAATAAATCAATGTTTGACAATGTTTTTTATTTACACAACAGTCATTTGCTTTGGTTGCACATGTTTTTATGAAACATCCGGATGATAAAAGATGCAAAAACTGAAGGGATATAATGAATATTATTTCACACTTTTCTAGCTGGGAAAACTGTAAAATAATATCGCTTCTGTGACAACAATATCCTGACGGCACATTTGCTTTGATTTAAACCATCACATTACGGTAATATATATCAGCAGTTGGTTTTTTTTTTATCTGCCCCCATTATGGGGGATTATATCTCTGGATGTGATCAGTTCAGTCTGAGATTTCAGCCTCCTACAGAATCAGCTCTAACAAACCCAGGGACAATGAATCCCTGCATCCTGCTAATCAGGAGGGAGACGTCTGCTGGGTTCTTAGCTCAAACATTTCAATGTTTCAACTGAAATTGCTCAGAGTGGCTACACAGAAACAGGACAGCACCTAAAAAGATGATTTTCAGCTCAACCCCTGTGCGCTCTACTGTTCTGTGCTTTAAGATGAAAGAAATTTATATTAATATTCAATAAAGAGAAGTATTGTTTAGTTTTTGATCACTTACTTTCTTTTTATACCAATTTAAGTCTATAAAACCAATGTAAAATGCATTTCTAAGACACAACAACTTTAAAACATTTAAGTTTAGGATACTATAATTAAACAATAAAAGATCTGTTACAACTTGAGTGATACAGGAACCTTAAAGGCACAAGATGATATATAAGATGGTCAAAACAAGCTTTAACAGTATTTGAGAGAATGCTTCAAGTTCAACTTGGATTTCAAGCAAAAGGGAAATACAAGGCTAATCTTTACATGTTTAATAAAGATGGGGTTTGGGCTGCAGCTATGACTCTCCCTTTGGTTTTTAATCCTCCAGGGAATGTTAGGTAGAAACTACCTGGCCTGAAACAAAGAAAACAAAGTAAGCAGCAGGATTTTAAAATCAATTTGGAAGAAGACTTGGAGACAAGAAAGGCAGGACAGAACAGGGGTGACATGTTCACTCTTTTTATGCAATTAAACCAAGTTTACAATTACTTGCAAGGGTCAGACTAATAATACAATATAAGAAAAAACTTTATTTTCATTGTAGACGATCCAACATGCTGCTTGGCAGCATATCCTTTTTGCATCATTATTATCAGTTAGATCATTTTAAAATACGTGTTTTTTAATTTATAAACTGTATTGACATTAGAGCAAAAGCATTGATAATCAGCCTGGTAATGGGATACAGTAAATGTGTTTTCTCGGCCATAAGGAAAAAGCTGCGTGTATGTTGGTCGACTTAGCGGTCTGGATGACCCGCTGCAGTTGTTTCTTCTCTGATGGGATGCTCTTTATTGTAAAGCGGTGCAAGTTTTTAAGGTGCAGGCCTCTTCTCCGAATTAAGACTCTTCTCGGGGCAGCCGACCCGGGTTTTATCCACATTATGTCAGTAATATATTCGGGTTCGAATCCCAACTGTGGTTCTTTGCTGCATGTCTGTCCCCCTCTCTCATGCCCCCTTTCCTCTCAGCCTACTGTCAAAAAAGCGAGCCACTAGTGCCGTAAAAACTTAAAAAAACAACAACAAAAAAGACGCTGCTGGGCCTTTTTATCCCAGATCCTTCTGAGAAAGCCGGACTTCGTTGATGCTCAAGCATAAATATGGTGTGGTCCTCGATGTCTGGAAGTTGATTGCTTTTGTCTTCTTGGTTGAGCTTTAGATGTTTATTCCTGCATTAACTGACTTTCAGAGTCTTCGTACTAAACTATCCTATTTTAGTTTTCATCTTTTACCCCAGACAGAAATCTGAAAAAAGTTTTTATTTCCCTGTTTTTAAAGATTTATTCCCAGCAGAATTACATGTATGCTTCCTTAACAACCATAGGAATGTAAGTTATGAGGAAAACAGAGATAATACAGAAAAGGACCGCAACCAACTGAGGTACCGAGCTTAAAGAGTGACGGTTTGGGATGCTTTTACTGCAGGAGGCTCTGGCCATCTCACCACATGAACTGGACTGTTTATCAGAGTAAAAAAAGGAAAAAAATGAGATCCTGTAGAACAGAACTAAAAGCTACACCTGATGTAAGGTTGTCTGTACTGGCATGAAACCCTTCAAACATCACACAGCTGAGGATGAGAAGCAATACAAGTTTCCTCAGAGTGATGTCAGAGACATAGATGTCAGCAGGTTATTTAAATCAGTTGGAGGAAGGGTGTGTTTACTTTTTCTCTAAAAGAACATTTATTTATCAATAGTTTTTATATAGAAAGCTTAAATTCAAGGCAAATGGAACAGCTTGTGAAAGCCAGAGTTCTGTTGTAGTCCTTACAATGCCCTTTGCTACTTGGCACGCTGATCTTCTCCTGCTTAGCTTAGATTTATGGCTTATATCTCAAACAGAAGATTGATTCCTACACCTGGGGACAGTTTTCTCGGATCACTGATTAGGTGTAAATGCTCCCATGTTAAATATTAAGGGACTTTTATTAAAGTCAGCCATGTAACACAGTGCTGGGAGGAAAAGATGCAGAGCTTTGTTCTTGATTGTTCTGAGGAGGCCCTGAAGAAAAGGTTATTCTGGGGCCTATAGGTGACTTTAGCTACAGGTTGGAGAATTATTTTACTTTTATTTTCTTCTTTTCCATAATTAACTTTCTGTGTCTTTAAGGTATTTCTGAACAGTTTTCTCATTATTCTGTGCTCTGTTTGTCCCAGATCTCATACAGGAGAACGGCCATACAAGTGTTTTCAGTGCAGTCGTGGTTTCGCCTCTTCAGGAGTCCTTAAAGCTCATATCCGAACCCATTCGGGCCTAAAAGCATACAAGTGTCCGATGTGCGACACAACGTTCACCACCAGCGGCAGCTTGCGGCGCCACATGACTACTCACAGTGAACTTCGACCGTACATGTGCCCCTACTGCCAGAAGACGTTCAAGTCTTCGCCCAACTGTAGGAAGCACATGAAGACGCACAGGTTTGTGTTTCCTTTTTGTTTGGGTTTAGTGATGTGGACTCTAGAGGATCAGTGAGGTGGCCTGACTTTCTGTTATTGTGCTGGAAACCCAGGTATGAACTGGCCCAGCAGCTGCAGCCACAGCCAGGAGACGATCCGCTGGGAACAGGTGGCGTTACCCACGATATGCCGGTGGAAATGGAGGCAGAGTCTCTCCAGCAGGGTACCACCACCACAGTGGAGCAGCAAGGCATGCTGGGACTGGGCCAGACAGAGGTTGTAAATGGGGGCCCGCAAGTATCACTTGATGCCCCCCTGACTGACCAAGCACTCGTTCAAGGTGAAGGTAACAGCAAAAGCAAAACATGTTTGGTTTATTTTATATAGAGAATTCTTAAACTGGCAGAGTAGTTCTGGTATTTAGGCCTTTAAACCTCTTACACCTTTCTGGAGCATGATTATCCTCTAAATCAGTGGTTCCTAACCCTGGTGCTCAGGGACCTCATATTATAGCCTGCGTCGAATGTCCGCCCTAACCCCTAGATCCCTCAGTCACTATATAGAGTGGGGACTTTATGTTGGAATTTATAGCGAACTTGGTTAATTGTCAGACATATTATCACTACTTTTCTCTCCCCATCGGTCCGACTCCAACACGTGGTGCCTGCGCCATCTCTGTTATTAGTCGCCTCTGTCGGGTTATGACAGCCTACGACGACGATGGGCCGCTGTGACAGCAAATCCCATAATGCTTTGCGAGGAGATCTCTACCCGCAAAGCATTCGGAGTGTCACTACCTGATCACTACCGGAATTACGATCCGTCCAAAATAACTTTCAGATAGGCAATACTTCTTTTTTCTTACTTTTTTATTCTTTTGTCTTTTTCCGGGGGGGTGCGGCCGTTACTGTGACTGCTCTGAACATGGCTCATTCCTGCAACATTTGCATGGTGCTTACACTTTGCTGCCAAAAGTATTTATTGCTCCATATAAACTTGAGTGACAGCCTATTCTTAATCTAAAATCTTCAATATAATGTGGGTTTATCCTTTGCAGCTTTAATTCACTGTATTTTATGCCTTTCAGAAAGTGAACCCAAGAAGTGTTTTTAAATTCTTTTTCTAACTTGATATTTTCCATCTGTTGCTTTACATCCTCTTTGCTCTCTTAGACTCGTACGTAACTACACAACATGGTTTGCCTCAGAATATCAGTCAGTTTGAGACGCCAGCACTACCTCAGCCTGCCTTTGACCAGCAAAGTCTAACACAAGGTAACCACACGGTCACCTATGCACACATGCTTTCTGGGGGAAGTTGCTTGAATCCTTTTTCTTTTTGTTTTTTTCTACATATGTGCACCGTACTGTATGTTGTGACCCTTATTCCTAAGCCAGTTTACCCCATTTTATTTGTAGATCCACAAATAATGTATTCGCTAGATAAATATAATTTCAAAACTTGCATACTGTAACTTTTTCCCAAATGTATTATTATTTCCATTTTTTTCATGTTATGTATTTTTTTGTTATGTTAAAAATTGGAAAACTTGGCAGTCCTCCAGCAAACAGACAGTGGCACCTTGTCCTTAAAAGGACATCGCTGACAAAAGTCAGCCGTCCAGTGTGTAATATATTACTGAGGACTGTGAAGTAAATAGTAACAAATTGTTGCAGTCATTGCATTTAAGGCTTTCATTTGCAACCTTTATAGAAATGTTGATTTTGATAAAAAAAAAAAGAATGTGTCATCAGTCCACACTGCTGTTTATACAGTGGTCATTAAACCATACAAGATATCAAATTATTTTCTGTCTATAAGATTAACCATAAAATATGCTGGTGAAGATTCTCAGTCATCAAGGTCATAGTTATTCCATAAAAAAAGTAAAATTAAAAACAGTCCACTGGACTTTGTTTCCAAATTTGAAAATTGTTCGATTCCCATCCAGGAACCTTTTCAATTCAAAATGAATTGGTCATTGCATCTCCTTTAACGACCCTCCTGTCAGACACTTAGATGGGTATGAGGCATTGCAGGCTAACGAAAGAAGCCAAATGACCCCCTTTCACAAGAGGTGGACCCCTTTGTCCAAATTTATACAAATGAAAAATTTGCATGTTTTCAAAACAAAAACCAAGCTTTGTTGGGCTACTGTATAAAACCTCAAACTCAATGCTATTCCTGACATTTGGAATTGTACAAGCTTCCTGAATGGGAAGAGAAACGTGTTCAAACTTGAAAACAAAGTGGATTGTTTTTCATTTTCTTCTTTTGGAACCAGACCTTAATCCCAATGATAGTCCATGAGAAAAAATATACATCAGGGATAATAATAATCTGAATTTCCATCCCTATTTTTCTTTTTCATACTGATGAGTTACATATTTTTACAACCTATAGTTTACTCTGCGGTTAATATCATTTTAAATAAAATTTTCTGTGTGGATCCCAGTCAGACTGGCGGCCGTTGATTTGGCAGCTAATGGGGATCCAAAGAAACCTGCTCACACCACAATAATGACACACAATGACAGCCTCAGACTGGGCTGATATCTATGCCTCCATAAAGGAGGATCAGAGAGAATCAGTGTGTTTATACTGTACGATGTGATTCCTTGTTGCAGTGAGGTTGGCAGTTTACCGCTGTGAGAAATGTCTACAATAGCTAAAGCTTTTATTTTACTCTGGCCAAACTAATCAATAATTCATGAATGTTGATGGATGTTTTTTAAGCTTGTCCAAAGAGCTAGTTTTATAAAGATTTGTATAAAAAAATCACCATCCCTCTGCTTTTATTGGATGTTCCATATGGGGAAGTCAGATGCTTCTCTTCATATCCATCGTTCTTTATTTATCTTGCATAAACTAAAGTGGACCGAAGTGCTTTCAGACATCTGATATTCATTTTCCACAACGTTGCCAAGTCTGCCAACAGACCCTTGTTGTTTCTGTGCAGCCTCAAAAAGGCGACTCAGGCTGATGCTTCGCTCATAATGCATCCAGCAAATAGATCAGTTTTTTCACTCTCCCAGGTTGCGGTGTAACCTCTAACCAGAACAGATGTGCAATATAATCGGTCCATGGAGGAGAAGACACATGGCCTGGACTGTCATCTAAATTTGAAGGGCACACATTTCATGTTTCTGGATAAGAGGGGCTCTTGAACATCAAACCCAGCTTTAGCCCCCTGTGCCCTGCTGTCAGAGCTGGAGTACTGTTATGCGCTGTGATTGAAGTGTTGCCATTGACATGAAACCCTCGGGGCCTCTGGTGGAAACCCAGCATTATTTAGACACTCGAAGCAGAAACTCATTTGGTAATCTGATTTATCACCAGATTTTACTGCTGCTCCAGTTATGCATCATTTGAAGTTCACACATGGGGGTTAGTTTCATAATTAGCAGCTCTTCAGAACTTAAGAAATCCAAAGAGCAACAAGGGACCTTTTTTATTTTAAAGGGTTACAATTTAGAAGCAGCATCTTGTCAGCTTAATGAATAAGGAACAATTTATTTATTGTTATCTTTTATGCATAAAAATATACAAATGAAGAAACAAAGATTGTTGCCAGGTGGCAACGTGTTGCTTTATGCTTCGTATAGCCCTGAAAACCTTAGGAATCATATGACAACAGACAGGTGTCCTAAAAAAGCCTATTATACCTGATATACCTGTCAAACTGCAGACCCACAGGAAGCAACAGTGCACCATTCTCCATCCGGTGTCCATGGTTACTTAAGGGCTGGTTATCCTCCCATAGCAGTGTGCCGCAGTGAGCTTGTTGCAGATATTTTTCATTTATGTCTAATATTGAAGCGAGATCTGCGCTTTGGTATTCCACGCCACAACGCAAGAGGGACAATCATGTACTAGCTGTGGGACTAGATACGGCCAAGGCGGTGAGGAAGTGGGGGCAAGTTTGTCCGACAACAGAGGGCGAAAAAGAGCGGGGATCCAGGTGGAAAAAGGGTCCCAGCGTTCTTGCGGACCTCGCTCCTCTAGCTGGTTCAACCTTATGAGTAATTTTCCACAATAGCGGTCATACAAACAAAATGAGTCGTTAAGGTACCAAACAGGAAATACACATAGTGTAGAGCGGATGTAGATTTGACCAATCACAGGCCTCCTGTCTGCATCACCGACATTTTTGAAGAGGTGCAGCAGAGTGTCTGCAAAGGGGATGGGGGCACATTTTTTGTTCACTGTGACACACACGCAGACGACCTGGTTGCTGCGTATAAATCAGCCCTAACTGAACAATGGGTGAAGTCCATCCCACCCACTTTAGACATGTTACAGAAAAGGCAGCCGGGCTCTCTGACTTGGATGTTTTCGTGCCATTCTCAAATATCTGTTTTAAGAATCTATAGCCTACTGTCTGTTTCGAATATTTGGGGCTTTAACAGATACATTTTTAAAAAAGTTATAGCACCATAAAAAAGTTAAAGGTTTTGGTCACTAATTGGTTAAACTGGTATTATAGATTCTTTACCCAGCCTGAACTATTTCAAGCTCCGATCTCTTGTAAATTTAGTTTTTATGGCTAAAATATACTGAAAAACATTGTTTAGTTTAGTAGAATTGATGCCTTAAAAGTGGAAATGCATCTCTAAAGCTTCACATTTCTGTTTAACACATCTTTTGAACGGTTTCTTAGCATTATTAATCTATAATTATCAAAATTAATAGAAAATAAATGCCTTGAAATACTTTGCTTTGGTTAATCTTTTTAACCTCTTAATGTCCACCTCATTTTGGGATATTTTGCATACTATTATGCATACCCAAATGGAAAAGCAAATAACTAAGAACTATAAGCCATAACTAAATGTGTGATACATTATTTGAAAGCTAACACCTTCTAGTTTCTGAATATATACATGCAAATTGGGTGAGTAAAACACTCAAGCTGCATCAGTTCAAACAAGACATTTTTTTTTTTTTATCCTTGAAAATAATAGGTCTTTTTTGAACAGCAGCAATAAAGACATGCTTGCTTGTTGTGGCTGCTTTGTCATGGTACATTTTGACATGCTGCTATATCTGTGTTAATTGTGCTTTGTTGCTCTCTGTGTCCATAAAATGAACTAGGTGGTTGAATTGTGGAGAATCTAAGCTTTCCAACGATGTCTAACAGGTCTATATTGGTAAACATTTTACCTGTGTAATTTTCATGCATTCTGGTTATTATTTGTAAACGCTTTAAAACTGTGGGTTTTGAGAAGGTTAAGATGAATTCCACTTTCTGAAAGCTGCAACAAAACAATATATTAAACTATTTCACAGTATTTTTCAGACTCATCCATTGTTACAATATTTTAAGTTTAAGTTCTGGAAATTTTGCCTATAAAAAAAAAAAATCTTATTTAGAAAGGTTTCTTTCCTTTGCATAATTTCTAAAATTAATAAAAAAAAAAGTACTTGAGTTTTCACTAGATAAAATCCTAAGTAGTTTTATTTGAACTAATTTTGTGTCAGAAATGTCCATCTGTTGATGCTGCCACATTCTGAATGCAGTCAAGTAAATAAATGTTCTCCATCCAGGCTTCAGCATATCTGAATCAAGCTACAACCAGCCCCAGTTCTCAGCTGTGCAGCAGCTGCAGGATTCCAGCACCTTGGAGTCCCAGGCGCTTTCCTCCAGCTCCTACCCTCCAAACCTGCTTCATGTCTCCAGCTCAGAGGTTGTGAGTACTCAAGCCCTCATACTTCACTAATGCTCTGTTTTATAATCGCTAATTCAAACTGGATTTCTTGACTGAATAAAATGTTAGCAGCATTTAAGCATTTAAGTTTCATCTGAAAGATATGAGGAAAAACATAAGAAATGTTAAAAAAAAGTTGAACATTTCCCCAATGACAGCAGGTAGGTTTAAAAACATGTAATGTCTGCAACCAATAGATAAGAAAGATATTTACTGCTCATTATGCGACAACGTTTCTATTTTTGTGTCGCGCTGCTATTCTGTGAAATTATTTATAATTAAACCACAAAAACCAAAAAAAAAGTGTTTCTGCCATATCAAATATTGAGAAGCTTCTTTTTTAAAGAATTGACGCCTAAATGAAAGATCTGTTGCTGGCGGATACCAGATTAAAAAGTTCCTTCTGTCAGTTTTTGCAATTTTGCAACAACAAAAAAACTACTTTATCTTCCATTATAGTCTTAATCAACCTAAATGTATAAATTCGGTGAAAACTTAACTTAAGGTTGCAGCATTTAGTATTTTAAGATATTTCTGAGGTTTTTTTTAAAAGACCCACCCTCTAAACTTAAAAAAATAAATAAATAAAATATGCACGTGCAAAAGCACATTTGGCCCTGCTTAAAATGTGCTGTTCTCATAGTTTATACAAACTTACTGTTTCCACATACAGTGGGGGATCTATAGCAAACTGAGTTAACTTACCGTTTGGACAGATGATCAGTACTTTTTGCTCCGTTGGTTACGTAACTCCTCCTCCACCGCGCGATGATGGCGCCATCTTTGTTATTAGTTCCCGCTTCCCTACAGCGGGCCACTATGATAGCAAATCCAATAGCGCTTAGCGAGAAGAGCTCTCTGTGCAAAGCGTACTGGGATATATCTGCCTCTCCTGAGGCCTTTATTTTCATCTCATAGACTTCGTAGACACTTTTACTCTTATGACCCTCGGCCATTTTCTAAGAACCATGGCGAGAAAGGTGAGCTTTCAATGACTGTCTGTAACCGTAGCTCACCGCACATATGCGGCTAAAAGTGCGCATGCACAAAAAAGATAGCGAACATGTTGGACGACCTTACGTAAACATATCACCAGAATGATTGACAATTAGGAAGACCACTTATTGAGATGATCCACCAGGAAATTAAACATAGTCCTCTATACCTTTATGTTTTTTTGGTAATGGGGATTTTTTTCCCCCCATCTTTTTTGGTGTTGGTTTCCAACTGAAGTCAAACACAGATGGATTAATATTCCTGGCAGATTTAGGTTCAGTTATCCTTTGATAATGTCTATTCTGACTCAAGCTGGTATTGATGTTTTGTGGGGTCCCAGCCAGAGTCCTGACTTGAGTCCGACATAGAATCTATGGAGGAAAGAAACAATTAGGGTGATGGCAAGGAGGCCAACCACAAAGATTTTATCAACAAAGAGAAACGTATAAAAATTGAGTACAAGGATTGATTCATGACAACTCAAAGGAGAATATAGCATCACTTTATTACAAATATGAAAAAATGTTTTGAGTAACAGGAAGGAAGAGCTATTTATTTTCAAATAGTTTTGATCTTTTGGAGGATCCCTCCCTCATTTCCAATTATAAACCAATCTATTGGATGAATGAAATGAATTAGGGATGTAAAGCTGCCAGAAGTAAGATCAATTCGGAGCTAAACTTAAACAAACATGTCATGTGTTTTATAATTGGGTAATTGGTGTTTTGGTTTCCTCTTTACTGAAACAGACGAATGGACTTCTACAGGAGAGCGGGCAGAGTGATCTCCAGCTGCACTCAGAAGAACCAGACTACCAGGAGGATGGGGAAGACAACTCCAAAAGAGCCCACAGGTTAGTGTCACAGGATCAGTCTGTGTCAGAATGTAACAAAAACAAACAAATCTCTCGGCATGTGTTCAAATCATGATGGTTCCTAAATGGAACATAAACGGCGAATGCTTTTGTTTTCCATAGCTGCTCATCATCTCCTCTAATAGTTCTTCCTCTTGGTTGTACTGCACATAGACGTTTTTAGGCCTATTTTGTGGGGCTGAAGCTAAAGCCCCTCCATTGTCTGATCAGATCTTTTCCCCGTTTAATAAGACAGCGTAGTCATAATGTAAATAGGGGGGCACTAGGGCCCTGTTTGGCCTGTCAAAACCTGAGAAACGCTCTGCTGGTGGCAAACTTAGCAACTTGTCAGATCCCTGGAGCAACTTTTTTACCAAAAAGCGATTAGCGACGAATCCAGCGATTGTTTCCAGTTTTATTGGAGACTTCTGTGATGTGAAAACACCGATCGCTCTGAGTTTAATGTCTTCAGAGACCTGAGTGAGCCCCTCCCTCCTCCAAACGCTGCAGCTGTACTCAGAGAGAAAATAGCGACTCTCCTGTTTTCCCTTTCAAAGGTAGTCACACATGTGCAGAGGCATATATTAGTTTGGATTTTTTTTTTACCTGTTTATTGCATTCAAGTTGAATACAATAACATAAGACTGCAGCTTCTGGGGGAAAAATAGTTTCTAAAAATAAAAAATGAATGACCCACAGTTTAGTCTCTGTGGGAACAAAGGACAAAATATATTACCTTGTAATCAGCATCTCCTAATATTAGATATTTTGTTGAGAAATCCAGCTTTAAGTGAAGATGTTTAAGAATTGATGAGTCACAAAACAGAGTTTTACAGATGCAGATTCAATAATTTTATTTGAGTAATTGATCATAAGAAATTTCAAATATGAGTGGGGGTCTTTTGTTTTTGTATTTTCATTTTAAGCTTAAATTTGAACAATTTCTAGAAGTATAAATCTTATACATGTCTGATAAGTTGATGTTTCTCTATACATGCTTTCATTTTGCTGCTCCTCTTTTTATTGGATGTTGTTTTGGTCGTAACTAGCCAGCCACTTTTAAAGCCCATGTCGTTCCTGTGCAAACAAGCACTGAGGGGTTTTAGATCAAACACCGCTGGTTATAAAATCCTGAGAAACTAACATCTCCTCATCTTTGAAAGTTCAACATGTCTCCCTTTTATGAAATCGAGTTTTATAAAAACCTGTTAAACCTGTTAATCCTTGTCCCGGGGCGGATTAATAATTTCACAGCCAGTAACAGCAGGAGTCATAACATGATGCAAAATAAATCCTTTTTAGTTTGTCATCCGAAGGAGCCTGGATCTGGAATGATAAGACAAACATGTAAGCAATGAAATCAGCTCTGCTTGCACTGCTATAACTGAATCAATTGAAGGGAACTGAATAAGCAAGAAGGACTACAGACAGGACAGCAGGTTTCTTTTCAGTATCATATTTTCTTAGCCTTTGTTTCGGATCAGATTGGTTTGAAATAAAAGGCTTTAACATATTTTCAAAGTGAACATTTTATAATTTGATTTATTTCAGAGGGGTTAGTCCGCCTTTCACGTTTCTTATGAGAGGTTGTGCCTCCTGCAGAGCTTGGGTAGAAGGATTTCCTCTGTTTGAGTTCCTGGTTGTCCATTAGTCCTGTTCTTTCTGTAATAAACAAGTTAACTTACTGAAAGTCCAGCTTCTATCATATCAGACAGTTAGCCAAGGTCAAACCTTTTCCTGCACAGCAGCACTTTGAGACAGTAATCCATGCCTTTGTTACATCTCGGCTGGACTAATGTAAAGAGCAACGGAGCACATAACTCCCATCCTGGCCGCCCTCCATTGGCTGCCTGTGTATTTTAGAGTTCATTTTAACATTCTTTTATTTGATTTCAATGTCCCAGCCCCCACCTACCTCACTGAGCTTCTTCACCCCTTTAGACAATCCTCTTCACCGTCTATTTTTCTTACTTGTTTTAATTGGGGCTGAAACAATGAATCAGATTAATAGTGATTTATTTGATTATTGAAGTAATGATCCACTAATTTAGTAATTGTTTAATCATTTACTAAGTATGGAGACTATAAAACATGCCTTTAGATGACAGATTAACCCCCTTAGAGCATCAACTATACCAAGATTGTAAAAGTATATAAAACAATTTTGCATTTAAAATAGAAAAAAAAAAATAAAGAAATTCTGTTAATATGCTCCATCCAGAACTCCTCAAGTGAAAGAGTTTGAGTCTCAACTGGTTTTTCCAAAAAAGTAAAAACAAATAAAAAACAAAAAACAATCCACTATACTTTGTTTCCAAGTTTAAAGACCTTTAACTTCCCATCCAGCTTTTTCAATTAAAATTGGCAAAAAGGAACGGGTCGAACGGGTCCACCCCTTAGGAATGAGAGTCATTTGGGTTTGTTGTTGGCGTGCAATACCCGATACCTGTCTATAACTGTGAAATGGGGATTGTTAGAGGGAGATTGCTGTTGAAGATTCTCAGTCATCCAGGATATTGTTGGTCTGGCTGAACAGGGGGTTGCAATTATAGCAGGAAAGAATCAACTCTATTGCTGCCTTGTAGGTTTTTGAAAACTGAAACCTGAGTCTCCCCCCCCACTGTTTAAGATTGTTTTTTTTTTTTTTTCTTAACATAGATGGCTTCCTTCACACCCCTCTTCAACTGGTTTAATGTTGTACAATCTTCTTTAAGGAACCTTTTGCTTTCTGATTATTAATCAATCAATCACAAAAATAATCAACAGAATAATCGATTTGCAAAATAATTGTTAGTTGCAGCCCTAGTTTCACTTGATTCATTTTATTCAATTTGTTTTATTCCAGGGGTAACCAATTAAAAATCAGCAGGGTCTGAATAAAGAAAATCAACAACCAGAAGCTCCGGAGACATTTTTTTTATAATCTGTTACTTATAACACAACACCTGAACTGACCGTTTTTTTTTTTTTTTTTCGTTTTTTTTTCTGGCTTAATGAGAGGAGTGGGCTTTAGGCTGCCCTGCAAGGCTTTAAGCCTGCACTTGAAGGCGACAAAGCCACTCTCAAGCACAAATCAAGATGCTCATATTGAGCCTTGATTCATATTTATTTTTGATTCTGTTCATGGTGGAGAATCCTGCTTTACAGCAGCAGGTTGAGCCAAACATCTCTAAATGTGCAGGGTCATCTTTGAGCACCATTTCACTTTTCTGTCACCAGTTCACCGCAGTTCTTCCAGCAGTCCACACTTTCTCTGCTGTCTTTTTCTCTTCATCTTCTCCTTCTTTCCCATCGCCCGGCTTGCCACAGGTTTGCCTGCTGTGTCTATAAGTAGCAGCAGCAGCAACCCAGACTGACAGCAGCTCATTGGCTAGTTTGTATCACGCATAGCCTGGTGTAGTTCCGGAGGGCTTTACCGTATTAACAGGAGAAGTGGTGCAAGTGAAATTAGACACTGCTGTTGGACAACATGCAGTAATTTATAAATGTTTTAAATCAGGTTGGATGCGGATTAGCCAGCAGGTGGTTCCGGATCCGGACCGCTGTCCACCAATTCGTGACCTCTATTTTAATTCTTTAAACTTCTGTGTTGTTTTTAAATAATTGTAACTTTACTTGATATGTATAGCACTTTGTGGCAGCTGTGCTTGAATTAAAGGGCTCTATAATTAAGAGTATTCCAATCATGGGAAATAGTTTAAAGTCTGAATTAAACATTGCTATCTAATTTAAAGGTCATGTTCCTCAGTTATACAACAATCCCAGAAGCTCGAAATCAGCAGTGTCCAGCTTGATAAACCTGCTGAATGAGGAGAATCCTCCAGAGGGTGAAACTATTTCCTCTTTAGAAGTTATTGGAATAATTTGTCATTATTCAGATTTCTTCCTGTCTTTTCAAAAACATATTTATTTCAGCAAAAAAAAACAAAAAAACAGTTTAGTTTAGTTTTAGCAGCCAGCTTCTATAGACAGAATGGGATTCATCCTCACTAAATTCTACTTTATGTTCCTGTTCTTGTCCTTTTTTGTCAGGACCAGACTGAATAATAGTCTTCTTTATCCTGGTTGTTTTCTTTTTTTGTTTCCTCTTTAGATGCAGTTGGTGCACTAAAGCTTTTAAACAGTTGAGCCATCTGAAGCAGCACATCCGATCCCACACTGGGGAGAAACCGTACAGCTGTGACCTCTGCGGACGAGGTTTTGTTTCGGCAGGAGTGCTGAGGTCCCATAAAAACACACACACAGGTGAGCTTCCTTTACATAGATCTTGGCGAATAGTTCCAGCAGCAAACATATCTGAGTCTTCCTAAAACCCTAAAACAATTATCGGGACCATTATTAGCAGCATCACACCGGAGATCAAATTCATATACAGCATATCTTTTGGAATGCCACAATTACATATGATCTATATCTATTTAACTGTTTTAAATACACTGCTGATTATTTTTCTCTCCCTTGCAGGAGTGAAACCATTTAAATGTGATGTTTGTGATGCATCTTTCACCACTAGTGGTAGCCTCAGTCGCCATGCATTTATCCACAACAAGTCCTTCAAATGCTCCATCTGTAACGAGACCTTTAGAACCACTCTGCTTTGTAAAAGGCATGCGAAGAAGGAACACGGCGTGGAAGTAAAAGGTAAGGATGTCGGTGCCATGTTTGTTTTTTTTAAACACTCGATATGCTTTTATGTTCGCAGTTATTCACCTCCTCCTCTATACATTTATTTAAATTCATTTTCCATAAAAATATTGTCATTTCAAACTATATTTTTAGTTTTTACTATACTCTAGTGTATTTCTATGAAGGATTGGATGTAATGGAGAAACATGAAGCTATGGAAGGAAAAAATCTTTTAAGTGTGGCGTTTGTGTTCTACCCGTTCTATTAGGATACCTTTTAAATAGGATCTAAATCCATTTAAATAGCTTTAAATCCAGCTGCTCTGTGAAGCTTTCAGATGTTATTAGAAAACATAATTCAAAAGCAGTGCAATGGAGCCCAGGCAAGATGGAAGACGCATCACTAACAGAGCTGTGGTGAAGTTTAAAGCAGGATGAGATTATATAACATAACAGCAAAACACTGAACTATACTCTAAACAGATCATCCCAATGTTGACACATGGCGGCGGCTGCATCATGCTTTAGGATACACTTCTTAGTCTAAGACAGGGGCTGGGTAGAAAAACAGAGACGAAAACCTGGTGGAGGCTCGAGGCTGGCATGGAGGTTGACCTTCCACCAGAAGAAGAAGTCAACTCACACAACCTGTTGTGTTTCAACCAAAGGATGTTGGTTTGTTGGATTGATTAGTCAGTGTTGGTGTTTTCTGAATCAAGATAAAATCTTTGACATACTCCCTTTTATGCATGATCAGTTAACAATTTGCACCCACTGTTTCAGCCAACTGTACTTTATGTACTTTTATATTTATAGGTTCATGTTTAGGTGTTCCACTTTTTTGCACATAGCAGTGTATCCCCTATATTTTTAATCTTTAAATAATGTCCACAATTAAGACTGGTTGCTCTGTTATTTACTTTTTAGTTTCCACATGTGTTGTTGTGGGACCGATAATCACTGAATTTCAATTCCTCAATATGTTCCGTTTGTATTGCAGAAATGGAAAATAATTTTGTAGCCACTTAATTTAAAAAAAATATGAATGACTTGCTTACTTTTAAGATTTTTCTCACTGACCTTTTTTACCTTCATGAAGACTGCAAATAACTATTATTTTGCTTATTGATCAATCTGTATATTATTTGCTTGATTAATCAATTAATAATCAGACAGAAAAGGTTCCTTAAAGAAGGAATTAAACCAGGTGAAACTAAAACAACCTCTTGGGGAACTCTGGACAGAGCACATTGAAAGACCAAAAAGTTAGTTTTTCTTTATCTTAAATGCAATATATATATATATATATATATATATATATATATTTTTTTTTTTTACAATTTTTGTATAGTTACTGCTCTAAGTGGGTCGCTCTGTCAGCTAAAGGCATTTTTTAGTCTCAATACAAATCATCAATAAATTGGTTAATGATTTTTCCAGTAATCAATAAATTTTTTCAGCCCTACTCTTCATAATTATGCCCCATGTTAATTGTTTCTTACATAACATGCAAATAAAATACATTGAATTCCTTGTTTGAATCATAAACAAGTGATACAGTGCCGAACGTCAGATGACGTTTGCAATTGTTGTTACGGAAACCATGAATTGAATAATAAAGAGTAAAATATGTAGCGTAAATGTACATGTAGCTCTAAAAAGCTTAGTATTGGAGACGTCCCTACGGTTACTTTTAACCCCTTTTTTTGGTTTTCTCATCTGAAGGAAAGGGAAGAAAATATCCTTTTAGAGTCCCACAGTACTTTGTTTTTTGCTGCCTCCCTTAGGGAGCAGCGGGCTGCCAAACTGAGTTCCACCCAGGGAGGCGCTGCTCAGTGCCCAGTCCATAAACCATAGAGAGTTTTCATTTACTGAGTCTCTCTGCGTGTTTTTTCCTTGTTTGTTTTCTGTTTTTTTCCGTCGTTTAACTTCAGTTCACATAATTGCAGAGCTTCATATTAATGCTACACTCTATCTCCCCTAATCCCCCCTAATCTTTCTGATTGTGAGCTGTTCTGCTCTGAAGAATTTAGAAAAGAAACCAAAGTAAACTTTGAAAGACTGAAAAAAAAGGAAGCAATGTAGAAACTTCTGGTTGTACTGACAGCTCCCTTCTCTTCCAGTTATAGAACTTGAATGTAGAGACAGGGAAGATGATGATGAAGATGGAGAACAGAAAACATCTAAGAGGAGGAGCCTGGAAATCATCACCTTCACAGAGGAGCAGGCAGCCGAGCTGGCGAAGGACCCGGGAGAGGAGGCGTCGGTGTCGGAGCGGATCCTCGCCCAGTCGGCCGCTGAGAGGGATCGCATCAGTGAGATCAAGGACAAAGCTGTGGAGCTGGAAACAGAACCCAAGTTTGCCAACTGCTGCAATTTCTGCCCAAAGAGCTTCAAGAAGCCCAGCGACCTCGTCAGGTAAAGGCCCCGCCTCCATTTATGTGCAAACTCTTGTTCTGATGCCTTTGAGCTTTTGTCAGCTGAAGTTGAGCTGATTGGTTGTGACCCTTATGTCTCACTGGTAAGGTCTGGGTTCACTTCCTTCTGCCATTAAAGCCACTCTACTGCAGTTGTCCTTGAGTTAAACAGAGAAACTCCTCAATTTTTAAAGCGTGGTCTGCGCTATGTTATTCCTCGCCACAACAGAAGAGGGACATTCAAGAACTAGCTAGGATTGTGGATGTCCGTGTGTCGGTTTGACGACCTTGTTTGCTGTCTACAACCCCTCATCCAACACCGGACGACACACAATTCAACCCTTGAGTGTTCCCGATAGACTGGCCGTGGCGCTACATGTTTTGGCTTCGGGTGCAAACCAACAGACCGTCGCACAGAGCAACAAACTAGCGTCCTGTACATTGTCTGGGATGGTGTCAGAGGTGTGTCAGGCAGACAACCTGGTTTCTAAGCATAAACCAGCCTTTAGCCTTGGTTTCAGTCCAGTGACAAAAGACACACAGATTATCATCTTATTGTTTTGGAATAATCGGCTAGAACTGAACAGAAGTACAGTGATACAAAGTCTATGTAGGAGGCTGTTAACTAATTATTTCATATTAAATGGCTTCTTTGAGAAGTTGCTGTTTTTTTGTTGTAGAATAAAACTAAACAACCTTAGAGTAAAATTATGGATGTTCTTCTTATGCCTGAGTGAATAATTCATTAGTGTTAAGTAAGTTATTTACCAGCAACAGGAACATTAATCTATGGCTGATTAGGAGCAGAGAGAATTGTGTGATGAAGGATTTTGTTGCAGGGATGAGAGCTTTACATGAAGCTTTTATGTTGGACAGAAACAGCAGGCGTGCATATTGTTATATTTTGGAAAGGTGCAGACATACGGCTGTTGTTTTAGGGCCTTTTTAACTTCCTTTGATGAGACAAGCTGCTCTTCTATTCTAATGTGTATGAACAACTTCAGAAGTAAATAAATAATCCTTAATGCCAGATTTTCTCCTTATCGCAAACTGGCTCTAAAAAAAGAAAAATGTTCCGTTCCTCTTTTATGCTTTGTCAAATCCCGAATTCTTTTATCAAAACTGACCTCAGGCTGTTTAAAAATTCTGTTTTGTTTTGACTTTTCTTTTTTTATTAATAAAGCATTTAATTTGATCCGCTGACTCAGTTTTCTATGTTTTTTTATTAAATTATTTGTTCATCTGTTTCTTGCACAGCCGAACCAGATTTTCCCTTGATTTATTCTCCGTTTGAATCCGTTTGATGTTCAGGCACATCAGGATCCATACGGGTGAAAAACCATACAAGTGTGACGAATGCGGGAAGAGTTTTACGGTGAAGTCAACCCTGGACTGCCATGTTAAAACACATACAGGTAAAATGGCCGTCAAGCTAATGTACTCCTCTGGTTGCTGCTGGACGCCTAGCAAACAGCTGAAGAACAGCGGAATAGAATTAATCAGACAACATTAGAAGAGAAGCTCAACAGTTTTTTTTTTTTGCCAAAATAATGCAAAAAAAACTGTTTTTTTATTGCTTGAAGATAAAATTAGATTAAACTTTCTTGTCAGTAGAATATCTAAGTGAAAATAGTATTTCCCCGCAAATTCAGCAAAGTTTATACAGCTAAAAGTCTACAAATACAGTAAACTCTTCCTAGTTATTGGTGTCTGTAGAAATAAATCAGCATTTCTAATATTTAGGATCTCTTACTGAGTGAGTTCTTCACATGATTGATTATAACTCATAACTTTTCTTTTTGTTACTCAATTGAATCTAGTTGTGTATCAAATTAGACATTGTCAGAATATTTTTCAACAAGGTTGTTTAAAAATAGGAAAGATGAAATGAACTGTAGCGCAGTTTTCAATATGTGCATTTTCTAAATCCTGTATGTTTTCTAGTATGCAGAATTCTTCAGAAGCACTTATGTGTTGATTCCTTTTCAATTGAGTGCCTCAAGGCTCTACAGAGTCAATTTAGTCAATCTTCCAGTCAGATTAGTTGCTTTTTCTATCAAAGGAAACCAAGGTGGTGGCATCAGTCATTGTCTTCGCAGAGTTTGCTCCTCCTGGGTGAGAATGCAGCGACAGTAGTCATTGGCTCGTGTTGTGTTGCTGACTTTGCAGCAATCCCTCACACCAAGCATGCAGTGACAGCAGAGAGAAAAGGTCTACGTTTTAACAGAGAGAAACCTTCAGCAGACTGCTGAGGCCGACTGGGGCTCAGGAAGACAGAAGTGGAGAGACAAAAGGAACTTGAAAGCACTGATAAAGAAAAACTTTCTATGTTAGAGAAGGTAGCGTAAACTAGCTCCAAATGGGGCTCTGTGGAGGAAAGGAACAGTAAAGCAGATGAGCTCTGAGCCGCTATCCAGATTAAAAGGATGAAACACATTAAAAGCTTTCCCCAGAGCTACTGTATATCTGGAGCCTCTTTCTCACTGAAATTAGCGGGTAACATGGATTTTTCAAACATTGGTCCACACGCTAATAATCGGCATTTGGCTCCCTTACCATTGACATAAAAACTGTGTCTGACCCCTAGCTGGCAAGCTGCGTGCCCTCTTTCCCGAGCTGCTGTGTGTCTGATGACGCCATTACGCTGGGTTAGCACCAATGATGTTAGCACTGTGATAGAAATCAGGAAAGTAAACAATAGAGAGCAACATGGACGGGATTAAGGCCGTAGTTTGTGTGTTTTATTGTTTCGATCTTTTGTTCTTCCAAATCGCTCTCACCAGTGCTGTTCCATGTTTATCAAACATCAGCAGAGTTGTTTTTACTAGTTAGATCAGATGCAACTGTCAAGGTGTGTTGACATCCGTACAATGCGTTTAATGGAATCCCGTAAATTTAACGGGTCGACCCGGGTCTGATGTTCCCACTGTATGCCGATCGGAGCCAAGGTTGTCTGACGGTGATTTTTAACCCAGGTCGCTTTCCGAGTTGTTTGGCATGGGTCATGACAGGTCAGTGAGGTGTTCCCACTGCCACTAAAGGTCAGGTTTAAACAGGTGTTTCAGCCATACGGAGAGAGGTATTGGAGAGAAAGACAACAGTGAAGAAACAGGCCCAACTTTAACTCATCTCTCATTGAAGATGTCGATGGCAGGCTAAAACTTCGTCTTGCAACTGTTTGATCATTATTTATTTAAACCATTTCTATACTGGATGTAATATCACTCTGTGTGTCAGAGCAAGAGATCTGGATTTATCAGTTTTGTTTCAGTGTTTTATAAGAAAGGACAAACTAAAGGCAGAGTTTGCATTTGAATCTGTCTTTATAACCCTATGTTTGCTATTTCTGCTAGCACTGTCAGCTTTACCAGCTGTCATGTGTCGAGACTCACATCTAGGATTTTTAACAGATTGCTTCCAGCTCCTAAAATAGAGTTTGACTCTTGGCTTTGGTAGGTCAAACATCCTGCTATCTGCTACATTCCAACTTCCTGTCCATTTAGATCTAATGCACAGTTGACCTGCTATAGATAATATAGTTTCCTCTCTAGAGGCTTCTTACATCATCTGTGTTTCCTCTCACCTCATTTGCAAACAGGTTTAGAATGACTGACTTTCAGTCTTCCTCACTCAGATAAGACTTACCCTTTACAGTAATTGACATCCTCCTGGTTGTAAAAAGATGTTTAGTTTATGATCATTTTATGATTTGCTGTTTCAGATCACTAGCAATTTCTCTGTGAAACTCACGGAAAGCATATTAATACTACAGAGTAGCTCCACGATCCACTAAAGGTTTGTTTATGGATAAGGCTGTTACAGTGATGTTTCCTTAGAGCTGGACCTTTATTTCTAACACTGTGTCTCACTCCAACATGAGTCTTAGCTGTATTTCTGGATCAATAAAAAGGTGGATGTTTGTGTTTATCGAAGGCTTTGTGTGTTTGAAGTAGTTTACAAGGATTTGCTATGAGGTGAAGAACAAAGGCAGAAATCCTTCAATGTCCAAAAGCAGTACGTACTGTCTGCATCGGTAGAAGGTTGTTTTAATAATTTAGAACACAATAACTCTTTGAAACTACTCGAAAATAACATTAAGAAAAAAAGAAATGATGTTTTTTGTTTATAGTGTCTTGATGGCGCAGTGATCATTTGTTTTATGTTTGCAGGTCAGAAACTGTTCAGCTGTCACATGTGCAACACCTCCTTCTCCACAAAGGGCAGCCTGAAGGTCCACATGCGCCTCCACACCGGCTCCAAGCCTTTCAAATGCCCCTTCTGCGACCTTCGCTTCAGAACCTCGGGCCACCGTAAAACTCACATCCAGTGTCACTTTCGATCAAACGGCGACAGCCGCAAGGGCAAGCGCTCCTCTACCTCTATGGGTCATCCAAGACACGGTCAGGACTCGGCCACTGGGCATAATGGGGCCTCCAGTCAGGGCCAGCAACCAACCACTACGGAACCACTTCAACCTGTGGGTCTGCTACAGACCTCCAGCTCTGATCCCAACATTTACCTCCCAGCCAATCAGGTTTTGACTGGGCAGTTTGACCAGAACCTGCTGCAGTCGGGCCTTGTGAGTCAGGCTATCCTGCCTGCCTCTATGTCAGGTGGGTGTTGTGGAAGTTATCTGAACAATGAATGCATCTTATAAACAATATGGGGTAAAGGGAAGTTGATTTTATCCACTCCAGTTTAGCCGGGTCAGTGCATCTTATTGGAGTAAACAGTGTTGTTATCCTCTATCATAGATGATGGGTGATATCTGGCTCTTTATAAAGACTCTGTGTGAAGCTGAAATCCTGCATCATCTTTCTGTTGGCTGAAGATTTTGCTCCGCTACTCCTTTCCTTTTTCTCCCGCTTAGACCTTGTCAGGGTCGCAGTGGGTCCGGTGCAACACAGAGACAATCAGAGACACACAACCATGCACACACACACACACACACACACACACACACACACCTAAGGAGAATTTAGAGAATCCAATTAACCTAACAATCATGTTTTTGGACTGTGGAAGGAAACTGGTAACCTGACTCCGCCAGATGGATTTGCTCCGCATATCCATCTGGAAAACTTCGGTTGAAGTAATTTTGGGAAGGGGCGAAAATACTGGTTAGCTGATTGGCCTATGTTGGTGATAGACGGGCCAAATAAACCAATCAGATCAACGAAGCATATGACGTACTAACAGCCAGGCTACTCTTGCCGAAACCAGTCGGGAGAAGAGCAAAAACATCTTTTCCTCTGAGAAAAGCCTCCAGAGCAGTGTTTTGCTCTTCTTTCAGTGAAGAAATACTCTGTAATTCCGATAAAACTTGCTCGATACCCACGCTAACGCTAGTTTCATCGGCTGAAGCCGCCATGTTCTTTAGACTGAACTGTCGCGCTTCTCGTTGCGTCACACCTCAACCCGCCTCAAAGCCAACGCTGATTGCACGTTCGTTTGGTAAACGGCTCCAAATTTTCTTCAACAGAGAGTCTCCAGACTGATTAGCGAGTGAATTCTTGAAAGCTCGCAAGATCAGGATGGTCTCACGAGGCTAGGAAACTGGGGTACCCGGAGAGAACCCACACATGCATAGGGAGAACAAGCAAAAAGACTCCAGGCCAGGATTTGGACCAAGAACCTTCTAACGGGGGAGGTTCTGGGTATTGGGGGAGTGTAAGGTCTCAAGTTCGATCCCCACAGCATCCACCCTGGCTCTCTGAGCAAGACCCTAACACTGCTCCCCGGGGACCGCACAATGGCAGCCCACTGCTCCCCAAGGGGATGGATTAAATGCAGAGATAAATTTCCCCAATGTGAGATCAATAAAGTTCAATTTTTTTATTTACTTTTTTTATTATTATACTCTTTTCCCCTCTGCTGGTACTAAAGTTGAAAGAGGAGGATGTTAACGGGGGCTTAAAGTGTCTAAATGCAGAGAGTGAATTGCTAGCTAACATCTACCTTAATATCATCCAGAAGTCACAGTGTCCTCTTTAACCTCTATCCTTGGCTTGAATGTGTTTCTGACTGAGCAAAAGCTCTTCTATATAAAGAGAGGCTTGAAGTTTTATGCTGCAGGCTTTTACAGCCTCTGGGTTGGGCACTCAGTGCGTGGAAATAAAGCAAAGCTTTCCTGAGGGATTTTCAGAAATGTTATCAGAACCTTAGAAGATTTTTCTTAGATTTTTCTTAAGCAGATATTGGCTTCATTCCACCTTTTGAAGCTGTATCTCTCTGTTTCTCAGCTGCAGGTGACCTTACCGTGTCTCTCCCTGATGGCCTCACAACGCTGGATGGCATCCACCTCCAGCTGACCCCGGCCAGCCTGGTTTGCCCCAACCTGCAGATCTCTGGCCTCGATACCAGCAACATCACACTACAGGTGATCATGGTCCCCCTATGAAACCTGGGGATTTCCCATGGAGCTCAGTCAGGCAACTAACAATGCTGAGCAGCAGGTTCTTTAGCAAAACATTTTTTTTGTTTGTCAACTTGGCCATTCCTGGGTAGAGAGGTGCTCTGTGCCCTTAAGAAAACTACCGCAATAAACATTAACGCTGAATGGAACAAGATCCAAAATTTCCCATAAACATAATCTGTTCAGTCGGTTAAAGGTGCCTGAACTGGAAGAATGGTTTCTACTCAGATTAAGACTCTGAATCAAATTTCTTAGGTATAATTGAAATGCCTCAATATCATTTGTTTAGAAAAAAAAAAAAAAGAGGAAACCTTACAGGTGTAATATATTTAATTAAAAAATAATCAGAAAGTCAAACTATCCTGATAACTTAGTTCTGCTTTAATTAAATATGAATGTTGGCAATATTATTAAAGACAATTTAAAATCTTAAGGGGAGCATGTCATGTACAACACACGGTCTTTACCCTCTAATCTCCCCACTTCCTGTTTGTTTTGTTTTATTTTATTCTAAATAAGACCACATCTACTCAGTGGCTTATGCTTAAAAGCAGACTTTGTTTTACTGAAATCAGCTCCTATTTAGTTTATTAAACATGTCCAAACACAACCAATGTCACAGAAGAGTGACCCAAATATTGTCCTTGCTACTGAGGATTGATTTTATCAAGGATTTACTCATCCCTTTATTTGGCAAAAAAAGGACATGATAATTTATTTTTAAGCTGTAAAAATCTCAAAATTCACTTTTTTTTGTTGTAGTTTTGTTTTAAAGTCATTTGTTTGTTTAAATCCTTTTTTACGTGACTGTGGCTCACGTTTCAACAGGTCTGAACACCCCTGATCTATAACCCTATATACACTACCCTTTTGAAACCATGCCGATACCTGTCCATGCACGGCAACTGAGATTACTGTTGAGTGTAAATGACACGCTCAACTGAACCAGACCGAGCCAGACACAACCGAACCGCGCTTAACTGGTACTAGTTCATCAGTAGGGCTCTGCGTGGTTCAGCTCAGGCTCGGTTCTCAGACAACAAAGAGTGCATGAGTAGACCGTGTCATGTCCTTACAGTCAGCCTCCCTAATCATGAAATTTTATGATGACATTCATAAAAATCCTAGCTTACCTACCGTGCCACATGATTTCCAGTGAGGATTTCCTTAGCAGTGTGATGAACCTCAACATCTGTCATTGTTTCCTGCATCTGTAAGCCCTGATTAGACTACCGTTTGTCATATTCACTTTCCAAAAGAATTCACCAAAGGCTGCCTTCTTCACCTGACTCTCCACAAACTTGTTGAATGTTACAGGTGCCGCCATGTTGATTCCCTCTACAGAGCAGTGGTACAATAGATACTCACTAGGGGAGGAACCATGCTAGCGAGGTGCGCAAATGGTCATAAGAAACCAAGCTCAGCACGGATAACTGAGCCAAGCTTGGTCCGAACTCGGCACAGATCAGTTTTCAGAGGGTAGCTTAAATGGGGCTTATGTCACACACCAGGGATGGATGGAGGTCTAAACCTTTTTTTTTTGTTGTTGTTTTTTTTTTTTTTTTTTCCAGGCCTGGGTTCAGTCTTGGATCTTTATGTCTTGGACTTGTTTTGTCAGGCCTCAACAATTTATATAAAGCCCAATTCAAGACTTATTATTGAAGCAAGAAACAGATGCTTAAATCATGGATATTCAAATATCATTTTAATGCATCCTCTTGTTTTTGTTTTTTAAAGAGATAAAAATAATCAAACATCTGCATTAAAACACATTCATCTTTTTTATGCTCTATATTTAATGATGGATGGATACAGTTTGCCTTTAAGCTTTCCAAATCTTTCTCTGCTTTTAGGATCCTCTCCGTTCCTTTGCTTTCTTTTTCCAAGAGTATTAAGCATCTCTGTCAAATATTAGGAGTTATGGATGTAAGGATGCTGTTTTTATTATTATTGATCCTTTTAAGAAGCATTTCACCCTTTGGAGCCTTAATGTGGCTTGATGCATCACAACCTCCTCCTGTCCTTCCTCTCACACGCCGGAGACAAAAAGGGCTCCAGTTTACAACGTTGTCATTGACGTAATCTTCGCCGCTTCTTCACTTAGAATTTAAATGGCAAAAAGGGCCATTTGGTGTGACTCATTTTTAGCAGAAATTACACACGTTTAAGGCTGTGCACATGAGGAACATAGCTGTCTGATTTTAACTGGTGTGAAAATCCACAGCTGTGATGCTTGTTTATCACTAATTTAACCCTAAAAAAAGAAAATATGCCAAAGGAAAGAAAACATAAGAACGATAATAGAGGTACTTGGTTTTATTTTATATGTGCACCTTGTTCCTTGGTAAAAAAAAAACCTTTGAAACATGCCTCATGAAAAAGATGGCACTTTAAAATGTCGATATTTCCTTGAACTCATTCATTTCTGAATGTTAGGTTGTTTTTTAAAGGAGAGTGTATTTTACTTTAATGAATTAATGTTGTTAAGGAAGACAATACATAATGTTAATTATTTATTATTTACTAAACAGTGGTCTGGAAGGTTTGTCATGTCTTCATATTAAGTGACACTGAACCGAGGATCTCAAGCTGCAAACCTGTTAATTTTTGCCTTTTACCAGGTTTATGCTGGTGAAAATTCTCAGTCATCCAGGTCATAGTCATTCCGAAAAGTTAAAAAACAATCAAACAAAGACCAGTGGATTTTTTTTTTTTTTTATACTTTTTGACATTTCCTGGTTCACAACTCCAAAATAGTGCATACTAGGAGGAGATTGCCATTCCATGAATATTAATGTTTAGCTTTTAGACTTTAGAATGGATTTGGCCTGAATTGCGGCTGAAACTATTTATGTGATTAATCGATTATTGAAATAGTCGTCAACTAATTTAGTAATCGTTTAATCGTTAAATGGATTATAGAGACTCTTAAAAAAGCCTTTTGCTGATAGAGCAACCATTTAAGAGCAATAATTGTACCAAGAATGTAAAAAAACAACATATATTTTGCATTCAAGATAAAAAATTCAATTCAGAACTACACCAGTGGAAAATTTTTACTTTCACCCAGTTTAATCTTTCACCCAGTTTAATCTGTATTAAGGAACCTTTTACTCTCAAATTATTCAATGAAAAATGAATCAATAGATTAACAGATCAGTAAAATAATCATTAGTTGCAGCCTTAGCCTGAAGCCTTCTAATTGGTTTTTATGCCAGCAGTTGACTCCATCCATCTCTGACCAGCTTAGTCGTCCCTGATGAAGAAAAGTATCTCCACAGCATGGTGCTGCCCCCTCTGTGCTTCACCATGCAGATAATTTGTAGTGTTAGTTTTTAAAACCAACAAGGTTCTGGGGGTAATGAATGCCTGGTGAGGCACTGTTATTTTAGTTCTGTCCTATAAATGGCTATCCAAAATTGAATATTGTTTTTTTCTGGCCTATAAAGTCACACAAAAAAACAGACTTTTGAATTATTGAGAAAGAATTAAATCTTTTGTAAAATCCAATGTTTCTTAGTGTAAAAAGTCCCAAATCCAGAACTACTTTAGCTGCAGAGGTTGCTGTTATTGAAAAAATAAATAAATAAAAGATCCCTGCTTCGATATTTTCTCTGCTACTCTTACCTGAGGCGGTTGTTCCCTTGCAGATCGACCCTGCCCTCCTCCAGCAGACCCTCCAGCAGGGCGGACTGCTCTCCCAGCCCCTGAGCGTGGACACCGGCCTGGTCTCTCACTCCGGCAGCCAGCTCATGTCCGCAAACGACCCGTCCGTCTCTGCCAACGTCGTCATCCATCCTCTGACCAGCCTGGCCATGCAGCCATCCAGCATCTCCTCCCCACAGGTCTCCATAGCCGGCCTCCCAGAGCAGGATGTTACAGGTAACAACAAATAAATGATCAAGCATCCAGAAAACTCTGCTTTTTTTAGAGATGAGTAATAATCTGTGCTTGAATGTGCTTGTAGGCCCCCAGGACCTTAACCAGGTCATTAGCGGCGCAGGGCTGGTGGCAGGAAGTAGCGGCAGCCAGGAGATAACTCTGACCATCAACAACTCCAGCCTTACTCAGGCTCTGGCTCAGGTCCAGGCTCAGGCCTCGGCAGCCGGATCCGGCGCTGCACCAGGAAACCCTCAGGAGATCACACTCACCATTTCAGGTAAGCAGAGTTTGCCACAAGTTTACTAAGTTCACTGTCTTCCTACGAGCTCAGAAGTCTGCAGCAGACAGCAATAACAAGCAAACAAAAGTTCCTGTTTCTTCACTGATTTCCCCACTGAGACAGACATACAGCTGGGCAGTGATAGACACTGAATGAAACCTGGTCTTTAAAAGGATCCTTCCTCCCTGAATTGAATGAAAAATAACTGATGGAGCATTTTTTTCCCTTCAGCAATCCCAGATTATTGAAGACTCCGTTTTAGCTGGAGGTACATCCCTAATGCCTATAGTGTAGTGAAAGCTTGAGTTCCAGGTCTCTATTCTCCCGTTTGAGGAGATAGATCATCATCTGATGATTCATATGCCATTAGCAACGTCGGGCTTCTCCTTTTCAGCCTCCTGATTTATTGTAATGTGATTCTAATCCTTCAAGCTAAGACTTTAAGAAATGATCTTTGTCTTTTTTTCACCGTTTTCTTTTGTTTTATCTTCATGCTTCTTCCCAGGGAACTAATTCCTGTTGGGAATTAAAAAGGTTTTAGAGGAAATCCAGTTTGTTAATTAGTTCTAAGGATTGGAATGACAAAATTTTAACTTTTTTTTTCTCTCTAGGTTATGATTCACTCCCAAAGATGGAAAGTTAAAACTCAGCTTGACTTAATGGTGCTGAAGAGCAGATCAAGCAGAAACCCAGACCTCCTCAGAGACTCAGACCTCATTTTCTATCCTTTTCAAAACATCACAACTTAGAGGGCTTCCTCTTGAAATAATAGGAAATCTGCATGCTTTATTTCTTCATATTGTCTGGAAGATGACATTGTAATTGTGAACAGAAAGATCTCAATAGCGTATTCAGCTCATCTGAAACACTGCTGGTAGAAAACCCAACATAAATCAGCAGATATGATCTGATTCCAGCTGTTTTTCAATCACTGCAGTGCAGAACCAAACCAGAGGAGGCAGCATCTGATTGATGTGGAGAAAGATCCACACTAAATACGTTTACCAAAGCTTTAGCGTGAAGGTCCTTTTGTCTGAGCCTTTTGTTCTGCTTACAATGTTTTTCTCATGTTTTGTGTTTTTCTTTGTGTCTAACCTCATTTGTTCCTCTGTTTTACTTGTAAAGCAGCTGTGTATGAATGGCTCTATACAGAAGCATTTGCTGGATGCATCTCTGTGTCAGAATCCTGCTGTTATTTTAGCCTTGGCAGGCTTGTATAGGCACTGCGTCACGTTTTGGATATTTTAAGTTTATACTTTCTTTCTTTGATAAAAAAAACACTTTAGTCACAGGAGAAAACAAAATGATAAATGAAAAGCAGAAACCACATTTATATAAAGATCACAGAATCAACTCTGAAGGTCATTTTCTTTTTCTATTTCTTCATCTTTGGTCCCTTATAGTCACTCACATATATTTTTTACTGTTTTAAAAAAAAATGTCTCTGCAGGTCAAGATCTGCTTCCCCATCATAACAATAGCAACGGTGCAGAGATGAGCGGCAGCCTCAGGCTTGCATCTCCACTCACCAGCCAACCCACGAATGCGACCATGACCATCACCAATGACCACCTTCTACCTCAGAGCCCGGCCAGCACTGGGATGGCAGGTACGGACCCGAGCAGCAGCCTGTCCCCTGAAAGTTTCCAGTACCTTTCAAACTTTGTTAGATGTTCTTTGAGCAGCTGCTTTGTTTTTATGGAATATCTCTACCACCTTATCTGCGTTATCCCAGTCTGCTCCCACCGTCTGGAAAATCATCACACTTTTTAACGGGTGCTTAAGCATCTGCAGTGAGTGATTTGCTGCCTCTATGTTTCTATGGAGAAGCCTCAAAGTATGCAGATTACCCTTAAGGTTGCTAGGCTGCTTTTATGATGTGTTCTTTTGTTTTTTGTTTTGGTTTTGTTTTACAAGCTACATTTTTTATCCACTTGTGAACAAAAAAAGAGGAAAATCACAGTCTTGGAAAATATGGCTCCATTTGATGCGTCCAGTTCACTGGAGCGACAAGGTCTGCTGGTCATTTGGCTAAATGATACCTCTGCTGTCCTGAAAGCTGCTCCAGTTGTCTGCTTGAAAAATAATTGGTTTAAACCTCCTTTAGAGAAACCAAAAGGAAAATCTTTTTTGGCACTGTTGTGTTTTTAGGCAGTTCTGTATAAATTCTTATACAAAATGAAATATTGTGAGAGGAAAAAGTAGCAGATGATCTTTCACTGCAAAAGGTGAACTAAAAACTTCCTATAATAATTAGGGGTTTGGCTAAAAAATCGTTTTGGCGATATATCATGACTTTTGGCTGCCCGATATAATATCAACCTTTCAGTCTATAGTATTGATTTTGTAAAAAAACAACAAAACTTTTTAACCTAAAATAATGAGGGGAAATGGGCTACCTCTGCACTGCCACTCTGTTGGAGAGCGCTGTGGAGCCCTTTTGCTATGAGGTGCAGCATATACATGTATGTAGTTTGAGTATTTACGGCACTTGTGGCTCACTTTTCGACAGTAGGCTGACAGGAAAGCGGGTATGAGAGAGAGGGAGAGACATGCAGCAAAGGACTAAAGGTTGGATTCGAACCCGGGTCAGCCGCGTCAAGGACTAAGCCCACCGTACATGGGTTGTGCGCACTACACACTGCAGCACCTGCACACTCAGTATCAGTAGCTGAGGCAGTCACAGTGGAAGACGTTGCCTCATTCAAACCCCAAATAACATGGATCCAAAAATGAGTAAAAGATCAATATTCAATTCAGTTTATTTATATTGCGCCAATTCACAACACATCATTCATCTCAAGGCACTTCACAGTTCACCAGATCATACAGTCAAATCTATTCAATGTTTTCTATCTAAGGAAAACCAGTCGATTGCATTGCCTTATTGACTCGAAGGCACTAAGCATACTTGTAGCAACAGTGGAGAGGAAAAACTCCCTTTTAACAGGAAGAAACCTCCAGCAGAACCAGACTAGGTGTGAGCAGCCATCTGCTGAGGCCGACTGGGGTTCATGGAGACAGAAACAGAGATACAGTAAGAAGCAAATATACAACTAGCCAGTCATAGTCAGAGAAACAAGACTACACTGGAAAACAGGCCGATCTATAAATAAAGGTCTTGATGGCAGCAGCACAGCTGATATTGGAGTCACTGCCAAACAGGAACAGACCAAATGAAGCTAATATGTGAAAAACAGAGCATTATCTTCTAATGAACTATTACGGCACTTGCTTTTTTATCTATACATTTAATTTTGATAGCTGGGGAAAATATCACAATATATAGTGATATTGCAANTATCTTCTAATGAACTATTACGGCACTTGCTTTTTTATCTATACATTTAATTTTGATAGCTGGGGAAAATATCACAATATATAGTGATATTGCAATATCGTTATATCATATCGTGACCCAAGTATCTTCACACGAATCGTATCGCAACACGCATGCCAATACTCACCCTAATAATAAGTGTATTTGCCCTCAGGTTGATGGAATGGAATAAACACCCAATGGACTTTATGGAGTGTTTCTGTCCTTAAAATAAGATATTTAGATACTATGCAATTGAAATAAGATGCTGGAATTGTTTTTTTCTTCTAATTTTAAACATAAATGGTTTTAATCCAATGGAATACACACTCGTTTCAAGGAAAAATGACTTAATTATATTTTAGCTTTTGCAGTCTGCTAGTTAAGTTCTCACAGATAAATCTGTTTAATATTTCTGGCCATGTTTATACCTGATGGCGTCTCTCACTAAGTCTGGTTTAATTTGAGGTTTTTGCCTTTAAAATAAAAACAATTTGTCTTCTTTATACTATGACTCTCAGTCGGAGGAATTGCTGCAAAGTTAGTCAGCCATTGCATTGATTGGTCCTTTAACCACTTCATTGCTGCAGTCACTTGATGCAGACTGCTTGTTTTCCAATTTTTTTGTCATTATTCTATATTTGTACTAATATATTTGTCACATCCATACCACAGAGACAAATGAGGCAATTTTAATGCTGCAGCACACCAAGGGTATAGATGTCTATCTTGTATTTTATTATCTTATTTCTACAAACAAGCCCATTTATTAATGACCCAAACGTAACAGCATTGTATAATTAATAGGACTGGCTTGTATAGAGTTGATGAGTTTCTTGGATTGATTTTTAAAACTGTATTTTTGCACACACATCATTTTTGGACATTTACTTTACGTGAATAAAATTTAAAATAATCCCAGTTTTCCGTGAGTATCAGTGAGAGCAGAGGTTTTAATTAAAGCAAATTATGAAGCAGTAGCAGTTCAGGTTCCACAGACCTGAGTGTTATAGGAGGGACAAAAGGTTTGTGGGCTTTGCTGTAGGGGAATTGATTTGCATTGTCAGAGGTTGCTCCCTTACGTTTGTGATATTTGCTTGTCACCTAAAGGTCTAATCAAATTTTCGATGCAAATATCGCTCTTTATCAATTACCCTCCTCTGTCTCTCTCAGCTCGAGTGGCAATAAAAGCTTCCCCTGCTTCTCAGAGACACTGAGAGTATCTCGTCTTGTGTTGATTAGACGGAAACCTTGTTATCGCTCTGTATGCAAATAGGGCTCCATGTGCTCTGTGACAGGGAAACGGTTCTAGGTCGGCTTATTTATTCAGTTCCAATCCAAGTGGCTGTGAAGTGAAAAGGGACAGGAGCTCCTCTTTGACTAGAACGATTTAGCGCCTTTTGCTCATAGTTGAAAAGCACCAGGAGGCCTGAAATTATTGACTGGCTGCAGACAGAAGGGCAGAACAGGCAGATATTTTCCTGTCAATGAAAAAAAAAATATATATATATATATATATATATATAATAATACCCTGCTGCTGTATGTTCAGCACTCGGCCTGGAATGTGGCTGAACATTATGAAATGTTCCAGTTTGTCATGGTGGAAAATGTTTAAAACATGATCAAATTCTCTTTTTTCCAAACCATTCTGGTTGCACAAGCTGTTATCTGTGATGGTCCAGTTTAACCAGAGCCTCTCAGAGCTATTCACCCCCCAGACCTTTTCACACTACAACCACACTGTAAGAATTTCATTGACAGATCGGTCAATAAACACATCAGTGAAGTGGTGGGGAATAAAACAAGGAAGTCAAATGCTAATGCAAATACAAATCTGGACAGTATAGTATAGCCTCTTTGCCGTCGTAGCCCTTTTATCAATCCATTGCCACCAATTCCCTCCATTTGTCTAGTTTAATCCTGAAATGGTTGCAGCTTTTTTCTGAAGGCCTGGTTGGTTTGTAGCATTTCAGTATGACATCAAAATTCTGCCAAAAGTCCATTTATGCAATAAATACCCCTACGAGGAGCTTTACTTCATATAGATGCTTATAAACTCAACATGGTTAATCTGTTATACGTGTAGAGCGTCACAGAGCCCCAATATATTACACACATGCTCACCCCTGCCAAATGTTGTCACTTTGAAGGCGGTACCCATTGGACAGAATAACTTGTATGTGATTGGCTACTCTTCAGGAAATCCCATGTCTTGAGGGGTCCACTTTTCAAGGTAACCAGTCTTCGGCCCAATCCCAAACCCGTACATTTTTTGCCCTTTTCAGGCCGACTTTCCAGTCGTGCGAGAATTTTTCGATCTGCCTGATCGTGCGTCCTGCGTCGTGTAGTGTAGTGTACAGGGGGGTAACGAGGGGCGGTCACCCTCTCACGACCACCTCCCGATCAGGAATCGTGAGGTCGGGAGAAAATCAAATGTGTTTGAAATTCATTTGGCCATTGTGGGCAAATCGCTCAGTGGAAATGCGCGAACAAGGATTCTTCATCTTTTTCCTCTCCGATGAAAACACAGAAGCAAGGCAGGGTGCAGGTGAAATGGAGTTCTTTCTGTAAAATTGACAAACCATAGTAGCCATGTTTGATCAGCCATATCTTTGTTCAAATATGTTGTCAACTTTTCTTCTTAGGACTTTCAGCACACAGCATTCTCTCTATACCTCTTCTACTGATTTGGCTTCCGGATAGACGAGTCCGAGTAGCGCCATCTCACTGCGGAGCTGAGTCCGATGTGGTTTTTAGACGTACAGTGTACAGTGTAAGCAGGTAGATTGCATCAGAGCGTCGGGTCGCACAGTGTCAGAACATACATTGTGAGCTGTAAACTCAGACTGTACGACAAACCCTGCAATTTCGTTGTACAGTGTGAGCTGCAGCTGCCTACACTGATTGAAAAAATCGCACAGTGTATGCCAAGCTTAAACAATAACCCAGAGCAGTAACCTTCCATTTGCACATTCTCGTAGAGGGTCCGCTACATTAAGTGCCGTCCCAAACCACGTAGTGGGTAGGGCCAGTGGAACATTTTAACAGGTTTAACAGCGGCCTGGTGGCGGAGGAAACACGTGCCGCCACATGTAAATTGTTAACCTGCGACACAGAGCTACAGCCACGCACATGGGGCATCACTGCATTGCCATAGCAACGACTGCTTTCCTTTCTGTTGTAGTGAAGAAGCCGTCCCATTCTCCTTTATACATTTCGTTTATGCAGATTTTTGACACAATATTTTCGCATCACGAAGACCAGGAAACGCATGGAGATATTTTGTAGTACTTTAAAGTAGATGATAAACAATATTATGGGGAACTTTTTAACCCAACATCACAGAAGAGAAAAAGTGTTTAGATGTGCACGGCTGGTAGAGTCGTACCTTTGATCACTGCGGTGAAAAATCCATCAGCTGTCTTGTTTGCAAACATAACTCATGTCTCTCTCTCTGTTTCCCACTTCCAGTAACCAGTCTGGCACCCAGCACCACTTTGTCGCATACTGCTGCGTCCAAGAGCTTAGTGATGTCACCAGGAGGCGTGGCCAGCGATGGAAGCGTCACCCTTACCCTCACGGATGCTCAGGCCATGCTGGATGGTGTCACCTTAAACCTCAGTGCACAGGTTAAAAATCCCATGTACTGTGAACATGAGCAACACTCACATTTATTAGTAAGAAACAGAATTTAAAGAACATTTTTTTTTCTTTAATTTGTACCAATTTGTAAATTTTGAGGATTAATTGGTATCTGAATATAAACATCTGCTGATGCAAATGTTTGACTGATTTTACTCATTATTTGTAGACTGTGTGGTGATCTCAGGTAATCGTTTGTTTTTCTGTTTAAAAGATGGACAATACAGTGATTCATTATACTTTCATTCACATTCTTGGCAGTTCCTAAATCTGACAGATGTTCCTACTTTTGTCTTCGCTTCAGACAGAAATAACTTTTCCTAAAATCTTCCATCCTGTTGAAGTAGGCAGTCCACACCCTGTAACGAAGGCCTGGCGGCAAATTGTTTTTATTTTTTGTTTTTCACACCAAAAAGCACATGACAGAATGAAAGAACAGCCTTAGTGGTTGATTGTTATTATAAGTACTGGTAAAAATAACCAAATCGCTTCCACCAAACACTGATAGTCGACGTTGTGGACGTCTGTGAGACCGCAGGCTGACGCAAAGTGCTAGCTGTCACATTTAGCTTTATAAACGTAGAAAAGTTTCCACCAGTTGCCATTTTTTCCACCACCTTGGCGCTGTCAGGATCATGAACACATCTTCCTCCTTCCTGCTGTCAGAGTTGCAGGTGGGCATAAAATTCAGCTCTCCTGCTACACAAGATGCTTCCAGGGACTGCAGGTCTACTCTGAACGATTACTTTATGTAGCAGCAGGGGAAATCTGTCTTATTTCTTTTGTTTGCTGGTTCCAACAGTAAGATTGTTAAAATGCAGATTTTCCTGCAGCGATTGTCTCAATTACTGTCAAATGGAGTATTAGAGTCAGGGTTAGAGGGTGCAGTTCAGTTGGCAATGCTAATCATAACTCAAGTCTGTGTGATTTTTCCTCCATGTAAAGTCTTCTAAAAGCCTGCCAACTTTTCCAATTTCTAAATGCCCTGATAAAGAACAACTTTCTTTTATATGGGTAGCCTTCTTTTCTCCAGAAGCTCCTTACTGCAGATTGCAGCAGATTATTTTGGCAATCAGACTGATTTTACCACAAAACACATACCCACTAATCCGTCTTGTATTTTCTCCCTAAACACCTGCAGCTTAACCAAAGAGAGATGTCTGAGCAGCAGACTGCTCTCTACCTTTGTTGTAACAAAATGAACCCAGCAATTCGCACAGATACCTATAATGATAGATTTAAAGTGTACCTGAGCAGGCATTGATGCTTTGACTTTAAGCTTCAATGCAAGGATTATAGAGAGCCACAATAAGACATTCAGTAGCTGGTCATAGAACAGAATAGAATAGAACAGAATAGAATAGAATAGAATAGAATAGAATAGAATAGAATAGAATAGAATAGAATAGAATCGAATCGAATAAAACAGAATAGAAAACCCCTTTATTGTCCCACAATGGGGGAATTTTGGTGTTACAGCAGCAAAAGATTATAGCAAAAGTGGTTACATAAATGTGGACCTTAAAAAAATGTATAAAAATAATGGAATTAGTGACAAAGTTAAGAAAATAAACCAATAAAACACTGTATTGTACAGTGTTTTTACAATATAAATACATCTGCAGAATAAATACTCAATTTACAGCTGTGGACATTTTTACAGTAATAGATATTTGGGGAGAAAAAAAAAGAAGCTACACCAAAATGTGTGAAAAAAAATAATAGCAGCAGGATATTTAACTGACTAAGACAGACAGCAAAATCAGATTGAAAGTAACAACTTATTGAGGTTGTTGGGAACAGTGATGTTATGGAGTCTCACAGCTGCTGGGAGGAAGGATCTGTGATAACTCTCACTGGTGCATTTAGGGTGCAGCAGTCTGTCACCTAAGGAGCTCTCCAGTTCAGCAACACCTTCATGCATGGGGTGGGAGACATTATCCAACAGAAATGTTATTTTAGTTGGGGTCCTTTTGTTTCCTACCTCCTGTACTAAGTCCAGGGGGCATCCAGTTGTACCTGGTATGGCACCTGATCCAAAAATTCAATGGCAATCAGGTCCAGTTCAGATCTTTGGAGTGAATTTGTGCCATCTTTAATGGTTAGTGATGGGATGAAAATATTTCCATGCAGACCAACTTTTAGCTTTTGTTTGTCAGCTGCTTAACCAGACTACCTTTTTATACCTATAGGGTCAGACGTTCCCTGCAGTACTAAATGACCCTGGCCTGCCGGGACAGTCGGCCAACTCCAGCCAGCAGGTCTTACTGGTCAGCCATCATTCCCAATCATCAAATGGGGCGTCAGACAATGGATATTTTGTAAGTATTTCTTTTTTTTTTTTTGCAGGCAAGATGACTGCCTACTAATAATATGTGATAAGACTGAAGGTTTGAGCTTCAAAGTATCTATATTTACATGAATGTACATGAAAGTTAGTATGATTTATGAAAGATTATGAGATAAGTAAACATTTAAAAAGCGCTTTAACTTTAACTGGACAATTCTAAAACCCTCCTTATATAACTTGATTATTTTGGTAAATCAGGAAAAGCAGTGATGAAATAAAGACTCATGTAATCGTGTTATGATTCTAGAATCCTGCAGACGGGGAAAAAGTTGGCAAAGACTCCCAGTCAGACATCGATAACAGGAACCAGTGTTTTTACTGCAACCAGCTGTTTGGGAACGGAAACGCGCTGCGACGGCACTGCAAGCAAGCTCATGGCAAGGACCGCTGCTACGTCTGCAGCTTCTGCAAAAAGGCTTTCAAGCGAGCGACGCACCTCAAGGTTAGAGCTGCAAAGCGTATTCCAGCTGTTTAAAGTCAAGCACAGCTTTGGCGTAATGATAATTATCCTGCCAGTATGGGTGATCTCATGACGGAGGAGTGGGGAAGAAATGTTCTAACCTCTGACAAATCTGGGATTCACTGCTTTCTTAAAGTGTCTCTTGATGACAAAACACTGAACACAAGTAGGTTTTTGCTGCACAGTTATGATAAATGCATCGCTCTTCTCCTTTTCTTCAACCCCTCTCATGTGGTGAAGGACATAAGAGCCTGGAAGGAGGAGGGTGCAGCTTAAAGTTCAAGCTCTTTCCCTCCCACATGTCACTTTTCTACACAAAGAGCTACAATGCTCCCAGTTTCTGCTTCTGCAAATGTGCTTCAACGGCTGTACTCCTTCCTCACTATGACTAATGGAGCCAGGATTATGGCGAGTGTCGCAGTCATCGACTGAGCCTCCCTCTTCTGCTCCCCCGGCTGCTCATTAGTCTTCATCTAAAACTTGGACGTGGACTTTAGTTTGTTGAAAAGATAAAAAAAAAACACTGGTTCTGGTGGAAAATATTTACTTTTATTAAAAAGCCAGAGAAGGGAAAAATCAATTTCCGTTTGATTTGGAGAAAATTGAAAAATGAACAAGGTATTTATTTGTTACTTGTGGTCATTTTCCACAAGGCAGGCAGCGGAAGATGGATTTTTTAGGTGGGGAATCAGTGGTGCATGCTTTAAACTGTTTCTCTGTGATAGATCGGATCATATCCTCTCAAACAGCTTCGGGCTGTGTAGCGGGTTCCCACATACAGAGCCTCTTTTTTCAGATGTAATGAAAGATTTTAGAAATGTCTCTTTGTCAGAGGATCTCCTTCTATGATTGATGCAGCGTCTGTGCCTGGATGACACCTGTTTTCACTTCTTATACTAATATATAACACATGTAATAGTGTCTCTGATCAGTCCCGTGAACTGGGTCGAGGACGTTTTACAGAATAGGCGCCTGTCCTTAATACTGGAAATGAGGGATTGGGAACATTTTCACAAGTCGATAAAAAGTCTTGTTTTAACAGTGAGGGAAAGGCTGTCCCACGCTGTCACGCTGCCTCCGTAAAAAGCTGAGTGGCAGCAGCAGAGAGGATTTAGCAAATTTAATGGAAGCAGCCCACATCCTTCGCTCTGCTTCTCAGCCCACAAATGCTTTTCTTCCAGAGTGTGGGGTCGTTTTTACAGGTTTTAGAGCAACATAAGATTTATTTCATAGAAGGATTTTTACTAGAGAAAAAAAAGACCAAACACACTCTGTCTGACTCTTGGGCTAAGTGCTCTTTTTTGTCACCGTTGAAAATATCATAAGTGTGCCTTACCTTTATTATTATTATTGAAGTACCATTTTAAGACCACATGCTTAGTGATCTGAGATCTGATCTTCAGCAATCACAGTTGGCCTTTTCTAACATACAGAAAGCTAATCACCACCTCAACGGATGATATGCTTGCTTTTGATTTGAAATCGTTTTGAGTGGATTAGAGTCCTTCAGCTGTATGAGCTGTTCAGGATGCAGCTTGCCTTGCCAGGTGGGTGAGTTTGTCTGTTTCACAGAGAAAATAGAAAAGTGGCAATTGGAAAATATTACATTCATTTATACAGGTCGCACGATCATTTTCTTCAAAATATTTTTTAGAAGAAAAACCAGCTGATTGCAACGACTGATTGACTCTCTGCTATCCCTCGCACTGAGCATGCATGTAGCGACAGTAGAGAGGAAAGCTCCCTTTTTACAGGAAGCAACCTCCAGCACCCATCTGTGGCCAACTGGGTTCAAGGAGACACAAGCATAAAAGGACATAGATTAAATAAGTAATTTGGCGCTGGGCCCCGGCAGAACACTTTGATGCTGTGAATCAACATACACTTGGATGAGTAACCGAGGAAAGAATTAGAGTAGTGTCCCCCCGGAGCCCGGACACTGGTGATGGAATAAGTCAGAGGTTGAGTGGGACTGAGATGGTGCAACGCCTGCGTTGATTGGCTGTAGCTGAATGAGGGACATCGGACGTGGTTCAGGTGAACTGATAAGAGTCTTCCAGATTCAATTTATGCTTAAACTTCATTTCCATGATATTGGTTTCAATAAGGAACATTTTACCAATTAACCTTCTTATAAAGACTCTAAGGCTTCCCTCCCCCATGTGTATTCATATTGTTTTGGTGAAGTTTCATGTTGATTATGTGATATTTCCAGAGATGGCAAAAGTACTCACTTTCCATACTTGAGTAAAAGTACAGATACTTGTGTTAAAAAAATACTCTGGTAAAAGTGGAAGTACTGAATAAACTTCTTTACTCAAGTAAAAGTAACAAAGTACAGGCTTGTAAATTTACTTAAAGTATAAAAGTAAAAGTAGAAACCACTTTTTTCATGCCGTTGCCTATATTTTAAATGGATGTCTGCCAATAGGACTAGTTCTCCGTTGTGTTCATTTTCAATCATGTCGTCGTCCATGCTACTATGCTAACGCCACCGCCACCAAGCTGCAATGATTTGCCGTGAATGAATGCCGCCGAATCTGTCGATTCATCTTGTAGTGGTGCGTCAAATGCAACGTAGATTCCCATCCAATTAGATTGAATTTGGAATTTTGATGACGTGAAAAATAATAACGGTAACTCCATTGAAATGATTTAAACCTAAAGTAACGAGCCAATTTTTTTTAAATGTAAGGAGTAGAAAGTACAGATATTTGTGTAAAAATGTAAGGAGTAGAAGTAAAAGGTCGCCATAAAAATAAGTAGTAAAGTAAAGTAAAAATATCAGAAAAATCTACTTGAGTACAGTAACGAAGTATTTTTACTTCGTTACTTCCCATCTCTGGATATTTCTAACACTACTCTAACACTTTAGCAGAAACCATTTCTTTAGTACAGGGCATCTTTTTTATTTAAAAGACTCCAGGCTGAATTCAGGCAGAAAATATATCACAAGACATAAATGAATGATTTGTTTCTCAGGATCATGAACGAGTGCACCAGCCAGGCCCTTCACCCAGCTCCCAGAAACCCAGAGTCTTCAACTGTTGCTCTTGTGCCAAGGCATTTGCGAAACGCAGCCAGCTGGAGAGACACAACCGAACACACACAGGTGAGATCAAGCTTGGGGTTATTTCTCATGATTCATGTCTATAAAATACACTAATGGCAACAGTGGCTAACAAATGTTACCCCTTAAAGGCCCACCACAGACCTTGTGACCTGAAGATTTGACGCATATGAGTAATGTTAAATGATTCCTCAGGCTAATATACAGAGCTTGACACTATCAATGCCACAAGCGAGGCTCCCCTCTTGAAATACCGACTATTTAAGTTGGGAGAAGATGCACTGTCATTGGCCAGGTCGTGACCTAGAAGAATGTATCACTTTACAGCCATAGGCTCTGATATATTCACGGAGCTAAGGCTATTGCTTTACCATTTGTCCACCTGCTTGACTACTGGTCATGGCTGAGGCAGGGGAAAACTTAGAACCTTTTGAGGAGGCTAAAAAGAGAAAACGTGAAAGAGATTGTGCCTGAGGAAAAGCAAGAGTCGATCATGGAAAGGAGTTTGTTCATTGGCGCAGGCTGAAAGACGAAGCGAGATGTACAACTGATTCTCTTTTCTCAATTTTATTATTAGACTGGCAAGTTAACTCCTTGCTCCTAGTATAGAGTCATATATCTTTGTTATTTTTTTTTAGGTTTATTAGAAGCAAAATATGGGCAATTACAAGTCTAGCTTCCCTAGTGCCAAAAGTTACACAGTATGCCTTTAAGAATCATCAAATACTAATTAGTGTTGGCAAAGTTGTTTTTTGTAAATGGACAGAAATGGCAATTGGTCCTTCAGGACATAAAAAAAATATTACAGATACAGGGCTTGTAAACATTTTACTCCGATACCTCTGAATAAAACAATAGTTCTACCTGTTTTGTTTTTTCCAGTAAAATAAGATTAGAACATTGAAGGTTTATTGTGACCTAATAAACACCCAATAGTGGTCAGTTACAAAAGTTTGAAAAAATTTTAAATTACAGGGAAAAAAAGTCAGAATTGGCTTTTTAAAGGCTATCGACAGGCAGGAAAACTTGTTATTGTATCAAACTAGGTGTTCTGTGAACACCTCAGAGGTTTGTTGGAGAATATTAGAAAACTTCACGCTATGGGGATGTTTTTCTCCGGTCAGGACAAAGAGCCTAAAAGACTTGATAAGAAGAAAGATGGAGTTTAACAGCTCAGTCCTGGAAGAAGAAAAGCTGTTAGACCTGAAACAGAGCAGATGTTCATCTTCAAACAGGAAGACTACATGGAACCATAATAGAGCGGTTTAAATCAGAGTAGAACAGAGCAAAGCCTGAAGCCGACTGACAATATGTGACAAAACTTAAACTCATTATCATGTCAATAGATGCTTTCCAATTATTTTCATTTTTGAAAAGGAGGATGGCCTTTAAAGTTTGTTGTCGTAACTTGAAAACTACATAAACAGCAAAATGTGAAAGAAATATGATTCCAGGCTGTGGTGATGACTCTGACTTTATATTGACAATAATTCCACTTAATTGTTTATTAGAGATGTAGTCAGGGAAACAATCTGGCTGTAGCTTAACCTTCAGAACGTTAGCCTTTAATTGATTTAATGTGCCTCTAATCCTTTTAAAGCCCTTCTGCATTTGAAGAAAGGCTGAAATATCGAAAGCTGTCGATGCTGCCTCGTTGATTGATAGCATATCATTTATTTCAAATTGTTTATGTTAATTTGTTGCTGCAGCAGCTTTTGAAGGGGAATTTAATTGAATTTAGATTTATCTGAATAGGGACAAGTATTTTTCATAAGCTCATTTTACACACTACAACATTTTAGCAAATGCTAATTCTCCACGTCCGTCCCTAGATGGCTCTTTATAAAACAAAATATGCAGTACAGCACGCAATAAAAGGCACAATATGCAAAATCCACAGGTTATCAGTGATTACATGCCTGACCACGGAATAAAGTCTTTGAGTTTTATGTTTAAAAAGGACCCAGTCGGTCTCTCCCTTCAGTTCAGTGGGCAAAGACTTCAGGGCTGACTGACCTAATGTCTGAGCTCCTCTGGTTCTGGAATCCTGGGAGGAACTACTGACTCAGGGACGACCGGTGGGGCTTGAATAATATAAAATATACTGGGGAAGAAGGACAATAGGCTAAATTATTATTACTTGTGAGGAGAACGGACAGGGAGGTGATCAGTTGATTCGATTCAGTTTATTTATATAGTGCCAATTCACAACACATGTCATCTCAAGACCGATCATACAGTCAAATTGATTCAAAGTTTTATTATCCAATGAAAACCGGTTGATTGCATCGACTTATTGACTCGAAGGCAATCCCTCACACTAAGCATGCTTGTAGTGACAGTGGAGAGGAAAAAACTCCCTTTTAACAGGAAGAAAACCTCCAGCAGAACCAGACTCAGTGTAAATGGCCATCTGCAGAGGCCAACTGGGGTTACAGTTACAAACTCCCCCTGCTTTAAAGCACACTTGCCATCCTTCTCTCTCTATTTACAATAGGGAGTCCCTAGTTACAAAAGTTCACGCCGCAACCCTAAAGAAATGTGTGGGGAGTAACTTGCAAGATGATGCACATATACTTATGCAGGCAATGACCTTGAGTTATACACATGAAGGGCATTCAGTTCCTGGCACATCATGACCATGTTTTGCAACTTTCTGCAAAGGAATCTTTAAATTGAGTGTCAAAAGAGAAAAAAGGTCAATACAGGATTACATTAAATAGCTCCAATATTAACCGTTTGACATTTCTCAAACTAATCTAGTGATGTGATCTGATGGGCTTTTAATTCAATATTTTCAAAACTCTGTTATTGATAATCTCTGGTGGCCCAACTGTACATAAACATGCGGTCAGCATGGAATTGCAGGTGGTTCCTGATCATTGACAAAGTGAAAGGTTTTGCTTTAGTAACTCTATATACTGTTTTTATGTGGCGTTCAAATTTAAGCTGGGAGTCTAGATCCAGGCCCAGATATTTGATCTCTCATACCTGTAAGATTTTAAGATCGCTTATATATAGATTTAATTGTTCAGTTATGGGCTTGTTTCTTGAGGTAAAGCAAACAGACTATTTGCATTTAAAGATAGGCCTGCGTTTTGAAACTACGCCACCACTTTCTGTAGGTAATTGGACAGTTTACCAGAAACTGCCTGGACAGTTTTCCCTCGCATGTAAAGCACAGCATCATCAGCATACATCTGAAAACCAGCTGCTGGACATGAATCCGGTGGATAATTGGTTTACAATGAAAATAGCAGAGAATGGAGCCTTGTGGAACTCCTATGTTTATTTTCAGAAGGTTAGAATTCACTTTATTGCTCACTCCACGTGGCTTGCTCCCTTCTAGATATGATTTAAATCACTGTAGAGTTTTTGGAGCAGAATGTTAAGGTTTGCTGTATCAAATGAATTTTTTTAAACCCAAAAAAGTTTTTCCACCATGAATCAATTGTTTTTTTCTGTGGAATACTGAGTGGAAGCCAAATTGCATTTCTGTCCCTAAATAATTAATTAGCCAAATTGGGTTTGTAATCAGCGTTTCCAGCTTTTTAATGGGACTTTATTGACTCAGAAGTGAGGAGACAGCGTTTTTAATAACTCCAAAATTAAACAAGAGCCTTTTTTCTTTTATTTCTTAAAACTCTTCATCTAATTTCCTTTTCTGCCGTAGCAGAAATCTAAAATGTGTTCTGGTTTCAAAGAAAAACTCAACCAGCTCAGTGGCTCTGTAGACGGCGGGGTGGCTGAGTGCAGTGTGGTCAGTGAAGATTGATTTCTGTCTCATTACCTGCTTCACTCCCAGGCGACACCAAACAGAGAGGACTTGATTTGTAGCTTCATCTCCTCTGATGGACTCGGCCGCAGAGCGCCTCGGTCCGTGTGTTTCCTCACTGGGGGCAGCAACAGGATTCTGTGCTGCTGCTGCGGCTCTACCAGTTTCCAAATGCTCAACTTTGATTATATATAACAAATCATTACTAGATTCAAACTGAACCTTATAGAGAGATGAGCTGAGAAAAAAAAAATAAAAAAGGTGTAATTACAAATCTGTCAGCGGCTAAGAAAGGATGAACTTCACCTATTTGAGGGTGCTTGAGAAGAGAGGGGCAAGGAGAGGGTGGTCCTGACTAATCATCTCATTTATGTAATGCTTGGTTTGTATGAGAACTCATATTGAGCAATGTTGACATGTGTAATAGAATAGAAAATATGAGTGTCTGCTGTCCTTGCTGTAATCTATGGATGGATGATTGCTAAGAGCTGGACACTGATTAGCAGTAAAATATGTAAAGCAGATGATTGGTGCTTTCATTTTTCCTTACAGGAATTACCAGCTGTCAGATAAAACAACATTATAGTTTGTGTTGTTATTTTCTGAGCCTCTGCAGCCAAGTGGTCTAAAATGATCTAGGAAGTAACTTGCAAATGTGATTACTTTTTTTTTTTTTTTTTTTTTTTTTTTACTTTTGCTGCTCAAGCAGCTTCACACACAAAGGGAGCTTTAACCTTGTTAAACCTCCTTTATTATCATCCTCACTGTCCAGGTAGCAAGATTAAGCTACCATGTTATCCACTTTCCAGGAGTTTTAGTTTATTTATTTGATTGTTTTAATGATTTTATTCTAGTGAAGAACAACTTTTAATGAGCAGCTCTTCACTTGTAAACATTTGCTTATTGCAGAAGTTCATTAAACGCCTATGGCATCTGATGGTGTGTTCTCTGGACTTTCCCATTTTCAACAATGTCATCAGAAAGTTTATTATCTAGCGCTGGAATGATTATTTTACTTAGAAGTTAATTAATTAATAGTTGTTTCAATCAATCTGACAGGGAATCATGTACTTTAACAGAGTTTAAACAGTTGAGCTAAAAGGATGCCGTTTGAGGGTTACGGTAGAGCACATTTACGAACAAGGACGTTTTATTTATTCTTAAATACTTTATATATATTCAGCTTTTCATAGGACTAACTCTGTCGTCTCTTTCATCCCTTTTGACCTGAAAAACCGGTTCAGAGCTCATCTAATGGTTCCATATTTTTATACTTAAGGGGAATAAATCTGAATAAATATCTCATAACTGACTTTACACCCCCCCACTAAAAAAAAAGTTAATATTCCTACTGTTCATTTTAAATTTGTTAAATGGAAAACCTTGTTTTTCTCCTAGTTAGAGATATTATCAGATCCTATTGCATGAATTAAAAGATGCCAAACATTTTCTGTCCGTCTGCGGAGCGGTTCACGTCACTGCTGTTCCTCTGTGCACCATCAAGGTCAATAAACAGCAGATGTTTGATATTCATTGTTATATATAAATCAGTGCCTTTGTTAAGCTTAGCAACAGGAGTACTTTAGTTAAACAATGATAAAAGACATGGCAACATTAATAGAAACAAACAGGCAGGTATTTCATGGAAAAATGTTTCAATATATATTTTATTTTGATTTGTAAGCAATAGTAAATATGGCTTCTATCTATGCAGGCAGACAGCTGGATTATCAGGGAAGGAGCTACTGACTAATTAGGATTCTTATTGGTAACAAGCTGTCTTTAGTGACTGATGGACGACTGATTTTTACTGACTGCTGAGATTTTCAAACAATTCTTAGCATTATGAAAACGTCTGAGGTTTTAAAAGAGAAATGGAGACTGATTTCTCCAATAGCTGCCTTCAAGCTGCCACATTTCAAAATTAGCAGCTTATTTTGACCCAAATGCAAACAATCATATCTCCATCGGGGACCTTTTTAATGAGCTATAAAAATGATGCTGCTGCATGTTGATTTGCTGTCTGTGATTTGCTGCAGGCGAGCGTCCCTTTAAGTGCAACCAGTGCGAGAAGGCCTTCAACCAGAAGAGCGCTCTGCAGGTCCATATGGTCAAGCACACTGGGAGGAAGCCCTTTAAGTGTGAGGTGTGCAGCATCAGCTTCACCCAGAAGAGCAACATGAAATACCACATGAAGAGATCCCACGGCTATGGTGAGCTCACAAACAAGCACTCCTGAATGCTGCTTAGACTTAGACAACTGTTATTGTCATGTTGTATACACAGAGTGTATGCATGCCAACATTTCATTTAGTACAGCTTTTCAGACATAAATTAACATTTCCATTCCATAAAGTGCAGCAGAGATCAAATGTAAACATTGTGGGAGTAAAAAACATGGGCCAAAAAATGCATTTATATGGAAGTTCAGAGCATTAAAATATATGGTGCAAATATGCAATATTTTTGGTTTGGTGTTATCAGTGTGATGCTACGTTCACACCAAAAGCAGCAGAGGCAGCAGAAGCAGCTACTTTATATGCTAAGTCAATGGTTGACGCGCATCAAGGCGCAGCAAAACATCCCGCAACGCGTTTTGAGCAAACGCAGCAGCTGCATGAGTTTGAAAAACTGAACTTTTTCTGCGCAATGCGGCAAATCAAAGAATCACAGAAGCTGATGTGGGAGCTGGCAGAAGCGAGACACATCGCTGTTGATACGGATCACTATGATCACTCCTCTAAAACAGGTTATTAACTCCTAAATTTACTTAAAATGCAAAAATCTGCCAGCAAAATATGTTCGATATTATTATCCTGGTGTCTGCAGTTTGGATTACATACATGAAAAACGCCTTCCAGCCGCCGTGGAGAACCACAAAGACGACTTGTCCATAGGCTGCTGTTGAATGGGATTCCTAGTGACAGCGCACCGCCGGAATGTGGGGGTCTGAGCAGCTACGACAGAGAAATAATATTTGAAGGCAGGATGATAATCCGGATGAACTGACTGCACAGATGAAGTTTTCAGGTGGTCTTTCTCACTTCAAAATAGATTAAAACTACTTTTTACCCATTGATCACAGCAAATATAGCTGCCCTTGTTACAGACAAAGAAAGGATAGGGTACTGTAGCTCCGCCCAACGCGCATCAGACCCCCTTTTTCCACCGCGCAGACAGAGCAGCAGAGATGCTTCAACCGCGCATCAGAACTAAACTTATATAAGCATAAAAAATGAAGCATCCTGTGTGTTTTTGCAGCTCTTGCTGCTTTAGGTCTGAATGTACTATGATGCAGAGTTTGTGACATGATTTAGATTTTTTTGCTGTGGTCGAATAAACGGGGAATATGATTCTTTTCTTGTTCTTAACTAATAAACAGTTTTTAGTTTTTGCATGTTTTGGCGTTCATCCTGCTTTCTGATATTCCTGCCTTGTTTGCATTAAACATTAAAAGTGCCTTTTTAGCCCTTTAGGTCAAGGAGTGGAAAACTGAGTGCGGTTGTTTTTTTTTTCAAAGGCAACCCTCATAGACATTCCCCTCAGAGCTTCTCTATAAATCACAGAAAGTTGTGCTGGCAGACGGGTTAACACCCTGCTCATTTTAAACCTCCTTTTCTGTCAAGACAGGCACTCAGTGAATGATAATCATATATTTTTTTACCTTTTTCTGATGGTGTAACCATTTAGGTTAAGGCTGCGGATAACCTTTTGATAACTCTGGTACACATGATCATCAAACCCATGTAAGCATTCGGCCTTGGAGTCTGACAGCCGCTTATCGAAGATGACTGGTGGTGGCGAGCGGTGCTGAGATATCCGTTCTATTTAAAGAGTAACCTGACGAAGTCCTTGGTTCAGAGGCTCTGAGCAGAAAAGGGGCGGACAATTCAACATGTCAAGTTAGAGCTGCAGTTCTTTAAAGTGTCAAAGATAATAAGGGACAGGCTCCTCAAGGATTAAAAGATGCCGCTTTCAATTTTTCCAGGTATTTCACGGTCACACACAGAGGAGTAGAAGAGGTAAATGATAGTGAGGAGCCTTAAACTTTTAATTCACGGATTATGACGATCTTCTGTTTTTGTTTTTCTTTTCTTCACTTTTATACAGAAAAATAAGTAGTAAAAAATGTCTTGTTTATGCAGGTAGACAGCATGTACTAAGGCTTAGACTATTTAATAAAGCAAATAAGAAACTGTTAAATTATTAAATTGGTAAAAAAAGCAATGAAATATTATAAAATAGTCTCATATTTGACCATTTTCTAAGATTGTTCACCGATAATAAAAAAAACGGCTTGTTCCGCTCTTTCTCCACCTCTTTCTACCCTCCTCAGACATCTGATTAATGTCTGTGATTAGAAGAACAGCCTAATTAAAAGATCACATATTTAATTAGAGAACATGGATATCAGTTATATAGTAGCATAGCACAGTTTTACAAACACCTCTATGGAACATTCAGCCTTTAACAAAATGAGTCAGATATTGAGTAGTTACAGGAGCTGACATTAACAATTATATAATAGCCCTCGCCAGCAGCAATAAGAATACAGGGTTCCTACAGCATAAGGCAAGTTAAATTCAAGACCTTTTAAGACTTTTTAAGGACCCGCGGGAACCCTGACATTTGATCACTGCTGCACTTTATTGAATGAAAATGTTCATTGAGTGCCTGAGAGCTGTACTAAACAAAATGTAGTTTTATATACACTCTGTGTATACAAAATGTCAATAAAAGTTGTCTAAGTCTAAATATGATTGCCAGAAAAGACACTGACTTCAGCATTCGTGGTTTTTTTTCCCGCTATTAAACATCAAGCTGCTGATTGCAAGCTTTGATCAAAGAATTTCGGGCCAATTTGACTTTTTATAGCATATTTTCAGCCAAACTTTATTGCCAGAAAAGAAAATGGCTGCAACATTTATTCTTAGGATATGAGAAAAGTTGCTGAAACCAGCGGAAGTGTTGGCCTAGTGAGTAGGGCAGTTTTCTTCTGCTCTGAGAAGGTTGCAAGCATCCGGTTCGATCCCCACAGCCTCCACTCTGGGTCTCTGAGCAAGACCCTTAACCCTACGCTGTACTCGGGCGCCGCACAATGGCAGCCCACTGCTCCCCAAGGGGATGGATTAAATGCAGAGGGTGAATGTCTCCAATGTGAGATCAACAAAGTTCTAATAATTATTAACCAGCTCTGGTTCATGTGAAAAGCTTGTTTTTGCTACAGATCAGTTTTTCCCAACCTTTTTTTGACTTGGGTACCATTTAGGGCCATTTGTCCCCTCTCAGTCAAAAGTATTGATCGTCCAAAAGTGGAACGTACAATAACTAATCATAAAATAAAGACTATTTTACCTAATCCTTTAATTTAATTCTTATCATTGTATTCTTTCCATTCAATATAAAAAAACAACATAAATATGTTACCTGGAAGTTAGTAAAGAATCCAAATGAATACAAAATAAAATCCTAATATAAACCTAGCATGGCATAGACAATTGACGTTTACAGTTTGAAAAACATCTGCTGGCTTCTGATGATTTCCTTCGGTGTCAGTACGAATTTGAAGAATAGCTAACCAATGAACCCAATTACACTAGTTTTCATTAGATGTGGATGGAGCCAATGATCTGCATTGGATGGAGCACATGAAATAAATATTTATAAACATTAAACCGAAGCCAAGAGTAACGAGTAACGTTTCTTTAAAAAATGCAAGGAATAGAAAGTACAGATACTTATGTGAAAATGTAATGAGTAGAAGTAGGAAGAAAAATAAGTAATGGAGTAAAGTATAGATACCTAAAAAGTGTAGTTAAGAACAGTTGTGTCAATTAATGAAGTATATGAACTTCGTAACTTGACACCTCGGCGTAGAGCTGTTGTATAGCATTCCTTCCACTGCTCCTCTTCTTTGACGCACAGCTCAAATTGTACTCGTCTATTAGATCACTGTCTTTAAATGCTAAATAACTTGCCAGGCTGTGTGCTCAGAGGTGTATTAGATGGCTGCAGGACAGTTGGGAGCTATGGTGACAAGACGTGCACAGCCAATCAAATTGCAGAGAGGTTAAAGTGTTCGACTGAGGTGAAGCCATACATGTTTATTGCATCTCAGGTTGAAGAATTGCTTAAATGTAGAAACACAGTGTTTACGTATGCTTCATTAAAAAAGATTATGAATCCTTACTGAAGTAAAACAGAAAACAGTGTCTCCTGTATTGTTCTCAGCCAGTGAAAGGAAAGGGATGTTTATTTTTACGTTTCATTTTGCGGCTCAGATGTACATGCGGTTTTGCTCTGAGGGCTTCCAGCGGTGTCGGTATATTGATGTGATCTATCTGTTTTTAGATGTAGATAACCACAAAATCTCTTCCTTGTTTCTGTCATGAAAGCCTGGCTGCTTGCTCGTGATGCCATGGAACATTTCTCTTCAGTATTTGTTTACAAGAGAGGCTTGACACAGTGGGAGGCCTAAGTAGGAGGAAATGAATGCCTCATCCAGCAATAAAAACTGTACATGTTGAGCAGCAGGGTAACCCCCCAGAAACCACCCTGTGGATATTTTCCATCCTTATATATAGGATATATTTGAACCATTTTCTGTTGGCCTGATCTTTGTTTCTTTTTAACAAATATCAGCATAAAACATTTTAGCTTATGTAGCCGGATTGATCATCCTTAATGTCACTTAGACCGTCGTTGTTGCTGGGCTGAGCTGAAGGACTGCTTCGTAATAATCTCGTGACCCTCTGCTTACAAACAAAATCAAATTCTCCCTTAAATTACTTTTGCTCCCAATCTTCTCTAAAGTGATAATTCCCTGAAATAAGCTGAAACTAACAGAAGTAATTGGAAGACCTGCTGCTTTCTTTTGTTTTTCGTTCCGTCTGTAAATTTTCCTCTGTTTCATTTTAAGACCATTAAAGTGTTTTGATATGTGCCATTCTGACTTAGATTTGCACATTGTTTAATTGAGACATTTCACAGCTGGACTCTGCTGGACTTCTACAGAAAACCACCCTAGTTTGCTCACTCGTTTCTTTTTAGCTCTCTATTTTATGAACTATTATTTTTTTTTAACATCCAGATAGTTTAGAGCAAAAATATTTATCTGAGACCACATGAAAATGCTTTACTTGATAATACTAATGAAAATAAATACATAGCTTGTATGTAAGTTGGAGCTGATGATGGTAAATCAGTGCTTTTC